GAATAATTCCTTTTATTAATATTGAAAGAATTAACAAAAAAGGGTTGACCGCATGTGGTTAAAAACCTCTTGCATTCTTCCCATGCTTAGTGCACACGAGGGACCTTCCCCAAGCAATATTATCAGCATGTTTACGCTCAACCCGTCTCAAGCATGAAAAATTTTTTTTTAAGCTCCATTTCAGCCCCCCCCCCCCCCCCCCCCCTCCCTTGCTCCCCCCCTGCCTCGACTGTTCTTTCAGGGCAAGAACAAGGAAGGAAATTGAAAATCCCAGAGAGCCCTGGACGGTCCAGATTTAGGGCTGTAGCTTTTGTTCGCACAAACTCACTTGGCTCCTAACCGGCCTCCACCCATGATCCCGACATCCGCAGCAGCCGTTCAAAACACAGCACAGAGCCCGGCCGCGGCCCCGGCGGGGACCAGCAGCCCCCCGTGCCACCCGCTGCGGGGCCGGCAGCCCCGGCTTTGCTCCCCGCTTCTCCTCCCTTGCAGCCTGCCTTTCTTCCTAACCTTTTCCGACAGCCAGCAAGGAGTTTGCTAAGTTGAGATGAGGTTTTTTTTTTTTTTTTTTTTCCCCTCCCTCGCAGCCTCGGATGATGTTAAGATTATGCAACGTTAACAGATGTGGGCTTTATAATTATAGCTGCCTGTCCTCGGGAGGAGCCTGCTTCAGCTTCACGCGCGCTCAGCACAGCATGGGATGCTCCCGGGGTGGCCGTAGCCCTGGCAAAACAGCCGCTGCATGGGCGGCTGTACTGGGAAAGGTCCCCAGGGTATCGCCACTCTCCCGAGGAGGAACTGCTGTGGGGTGAAGGGCAGCTCTGGGCAGCCAAGCCACTGCTCTTGGCTTTCCTTGTGTGCAAACAGAGATTAAATTTGCTTTCCCAGGTCAAGGGAGTATTTTTCTGCCCTTTGAGGAGAAAAATCCCTTCTGCAGCAAAGCAGTGGGGCTGGGACAGATCGTGGTGTGCCGTGGCTGGCTGTGATGCTCCTGCCAAATGCTGTCTGCAGGGATCCTGCTCTCCTGGCGTTAGCAGGATACATCCCTCCTCGCTCCCTGCCCTAAAATGTCCGTGAGTAATTGCAGCCGCTGCTGAAAACTTGTAGTATTGTGCTTTGCCGTGTTGTGCTGTCCCACAGTTGAGCCTTGAGCATCACTGTGATTTTGTCGTGGCAGCAGCCACCTCCTGGCCAGGGCAATGCCCGTGTTACACCCAGGGATGGAGACAGAAAATTGATGGTTCAAAAAGGATTTTTCAGGAGTCGCACAAGGTAGACATCCAGCCGAGCTGCCAGGGGCAAACCCAAAGCCTTGAGAAATCAGCTGGAACTTGATCTGTTTGTCCTGGCTGCTTTATAACTCAGCTCCCAGCAAGCCACTGACTTGTTATGCTTGCGAAGAAAAAGTAACTCCAAGCCTCGACCTGTCTGGTGAGCATCACTGCTAGTTTTAACTGGGAAGGAAAACACCAGCCTGGTGGGTGGCAGGAGGGTTTTGCTCTGAAAGTCAAATATTTCTCTTCACCACTGCGGTTGCATGGAGTTAAACCACGGAAAGCAGTTGGCACCTTAGGATGTGATGAAATTGTTAGTGACAAATCAATACCTGAGCTAAAGGGCTGCTCTGCTTTAAGCCTTTAATGCATCAGGGGAGGTCGGATGGTCCTGCATATATTTTTTTGGAAGAAGTTTTCATCTGGTCCATTGGCTTCAATGGAGGGTCATCTCTGAAGGCTAATTTCTTCAGGCAAGGCAAAGAGGAGATTGCACTTCTGGCAGGCTTGATGACTGTGTGATGAGCTGAGATTTCACGTCTATTTTGTTGAACAGCCTGCTTTTTTCGGGTTTCCTCACTACGTGATGTGGGTTGGATTTTCCAGCACAGCTTGTGCTCTGCACCCACTGAACTGGGTTGCTGAGCTTGTGCTGGCATGAGGTTTTCCCCTCTGCACCTGGACCTGACATACCTTGCAGGGCAGAGTTAAAAATGACAGATGACTCTAAAAAGCCTGTGTAAATAATACCTTCTTATTCAGCCTGTCCGTTCCCTGGCTGCACTCAAAGCCAGGTTTGCTGACGCACATGATAAGGGGAAGGGTTTTGCTTTGGTATATTCTCAGCAGCTCTGCAGTGCCAAAAGAGGATAGAGAAAACTCTGAGGTGGATTTGCAGGGTGGACAACAACCAGACAAACAACCAGCAGCATTTTACTTTTGAACCAGTTGCATTCAACAAGGATCTGAGCTGAAGGTACTGCTTGCTGGCATTTCCAGGGTTATTTTTAAGAAATGGCAATTAAATGCCTGCTGCAGTGCCCTGCTATATATTTTAGCATGCCTGGCCAGAGCCCTTGTTGACAAATGACTTGGCAACCTCAGAAAGAAAATTTCCCTCTGTCTATATTCATCCCCTAAGGGTTTCTTTAAGCATCTGCTGCTTTGCCTTTTTTCTGTGCAGAAAGCTGGCTGCTGGGGCACAGTAAGCATGGGTTGCACAGCTGAAATCTTTTAGCGAGAGGGAATGGAGAGAAATTCAGTGTGCCGCCCTCCAGCACAGCCAAATTTTTCGGCATTGGGGCTGCTATAAATGGGCTTGTGGGCTACAATTACAGGCCTGGTATTGGCTTGAAAATGATCGTAGCAAGCGTCCCCTGCAACTTCGCATCCCCCCCATCCAAATGGCGACAAGAAGCAGCTTGTTACGTGGGACAGGAGGTGGCTCACGGCGGGCTGCAGCCGGCAGCGTGCTCGGCGAGGTGGGCACCGCAGCCCCGGCTAGGGCTGTCAGGCAAGGCACCCAAGGGGCTCTGCTCCACTGCAGCTCCTGTCTCCTCGGGCCTGGTGGTGCTCAGACTCCCAGGATGGAATGCAGACTGTCCTACCTACATAACTTCTTTTTCTTGGTGAGTTCCCACTGAAGCTATTGCAGATGGATAGAGGAGACCACTCCCGAAGTTGCCACCTCTGGAGTGTCAGGTGCAGCAACCCCAAAGGGGACATGCAAGGCAAGGAGGAGTAGGTGTCCCATGGGTGTTTCTCCGAGGTACAGCTTTCTTACAGAAAGTGCTTGGAGGCCAAGGACAGGTGTGCAAGGCTTAGCCTTCAACATCAGAGCTCTTGGGCAGAGACTGACCGGTGCCTTTAGCTGCTGCCTGTGTATCATCTGCAGCCCAGTTTTGAGATGCCATGTGCGTGACAGGCAGGACATGTCCCATCGCCTGGTGGATCTCTGAGCTGTAAAGTGGGGAGAGTTCCCCTCCCAAAATATATGACTTCTCTCAGTTGCTCGAGAGACTGCAGAGCCTGTCACCCTAAATTGCAGTTTCCTTAGACAGGCTCCCATTCTGCCCACTCAGCAAGTGGAGCATGTGTTGGGCTATTCCAGCCCAGAGATTGTGTTTTGGTTATAAGGAAGATGGGCAAAACTGGGATCTTGCCATTTCAGATGACAAAGCTGTGATTTGGACTTGTTTTGACTTCTTGTGGGCTTTGAAGAGCACCTGAGGCTGCAGTGCCAGACAAGCCTTGGGACTGTAATGTAGGGCAGGGACAGTTGCTGCTGGTTTTCATGTGACTGATGTGCAGGTAAATTCTTGTGCTGGCCTGGCTGGTACTGCGGGCTGAAAGCCCCAGTTCCCCCAGCAAATCTCACTGGAACCGCTCACGGCAGCTGTCACTAGATGCTCTGCTCCAGGCAGTGTCAGGCTGGATGGCAGACCCGCGGCTGAAGCTACTGCACCGAGTCCTGCTGCTGCTGCTGCTGGCAGTCAGCGCTCATGATTGAGCCGAGAAGCTGGCTAGTTAGTTAGTAACATCTCCAGTCCTTGCTTAGGGCCCAATTTGGGAACATGTCTATACTCTAGAGATGCACATAGCCATCTGTGTGCTTTTGGAAATCCCATAAAGTGTGTAATGCCTGTTGATGTCCCTGGGAGAAGTAATTTTTGGGTCCATGAGATATAGCAGATGGTAGAAATGCAGAAGAAACTTGTACAAAGAGGGGATGAGATTGCTGCTGTTACACACCGGCGTGGTGGGGAGCAGGCGGAGGGAGGGGAAGAGCTAGCTAAACTAAAGGATAATGCTGGCTTGGGAACCAACATTTATTTCATAAATGTCTTTATTAATTTTCTAATGAAATGAGAAAATTGTTCTGGATGGTGGGAGTTTGGAGCAGCCTTCCAGCAGGAGCAAGAGAGCAGACCCAAACACTTTTAGGATGGAGTCAGGGCTCTGTCTGCATTTGCTCACAGAAAATGAACCTGCAGATGCACAAACTACTTCTCCATCTTGTTTCTTATTTTCTGGGAGATATTAGCGTCAGATACACCGAAATGTCCATCACCTTGGGGTGCTTCAGCACCTGGATAGCTAGTGTAATCCACAGCATACACTGATCTTTTCTGTCCTGATGCCTCGTGGCTGGATGGGCTATGCTGCCCCTCCTGTTTGCCCTGGCGTTCTCAGCCAGCTTCATGCCAGCTCTCTGGAGGTGGTGGGGTTCGAGGTTGGGTGTCCAGCAAGCACCAGCCAAGCGGAGAGAGGGGAAGAGCTGTGGGGCCCTCCCCTCTCCCATTGCGCCCTGAATGGGGCACATGGGCCGTGCTGGGCTCCAGCTGACCGTCAGCTCTGGAGACCTGCTCAGCCCTCCCATGGACTCCACACGATCTCCACTGGTTATTTGCTTAAGACCTTCTTTTTGCTCCTTTAAAGACTTATTTCTCTTAACACACACACACACACACACACACACAAAAGCATGAGGGTGCTGAATTGAATTAACCTTGTGCACAAAGGTGGATTTTGGCATTTGGCCTCACAGCCCAATCTGATTTCCACTGGTGTGAATCCAAAAATAAATTTCACGTCTGTGTTTTGATTATGCAAAATTTTCTCTAGTGTAAAAGAGATCAGAGCTTGGCCTGAGTGTTACTTCAATGAGCCAAGCCTGTACGTCCAGTGCTGGTGGGATTTAAAGTTTTTTCTTGCTTTTCCTTTTAGCCATTGAAAGCAGCCATCCGGCGAGAAGAAGTTTGGACACGGAGATAAGGACTTCTGGTGCTCTCGTGGACAGTGTGGAGCTGGTGACGATGCTGGCCAGGAGCAGAGAGACGTCATCGCTGCCTGCCAGGCACGGCATGGTGCCGGTGGCAAGGGGGGTCACGGGGCATGTTGGTCCCCCCGCCGATGATGGGGGTGTCACCCCACTGGGAGCAGGACCCCCAGACAGTCTATCTGCTGGGACAGCAACCCGCCTGCCCGCCTGCAGCCATCCTACTGGTGAGTTTTATCGATGCAAGAGTCCCCCTTTGCTGTACCCAGCCCAGGGACTGAGCGTAGCCAGTGGGTCAGGAAGTATTCCAACCCCACTGCTAGAAATTCAGATTTCGGGGAGAAATCCAGTCCCAGGAAAGCTGATTTATTTTTAAAATTACAATGAAGGTGATTCTTGAAAGCTGTCACTGTTGTTATTTACCACCCAGCAGCACCCCAAAGAGTCCTGCCTATCCATGGAGCTCCAAGGCTGCACCCAGAGTGGAGACCCCCAGCACCCCCACGCATCCTCCCGGGAGGAGCTGAACCCCATTGCTAACCCAGCCAAGATTTTAAGTGCCCAATTTAAAAATATCTGACCAGCTGCATCATGATTTGTAGCTGAGGTCCTCATGTGGAAGTTGTGCAAGTGAACATTTACCTTTGGGCTTGTTCATAATCTTCACCACATTTGGTGGGACTGTGGTCATGAGTAAACCAATGTACTTTTTTAAACATGCACTAAATCAAAGCCTGTTTCCCACACTAGCAGGACAAAGCTGTGCTGACTGCCCTGTTCCCACTTCAGTTTTTTTCTTAGTATCCCCAGATGAAATAAGTGTCTTGCAGAGATATGAGCATAGAGGTTTTCTTTAATTTTTTAATTCCTCATTTTTTTTCCTGCTTAGGGACTAGAGTGTGGAGCTGGCATGCCCAGGCTGCCAGCTGCTGACTGTCCTGGCATAAGCTCCCTACTGCTTTCTGCATTTTTAATGTTTTTTTTTTTTTTTTTTTTTTTTTTTTTTTGTTTTTTTTGTTTTTTTTGTTTTTTTTAAATCTGGGTTTCTTTTGCCATACACAAATGAAGACAAATTTGGAAATACAATATTTTTTGGTGACAGAAATGCTCTGTTCCCAGCAATCCCTTTTGCAGTGTGCTCTGTGTTAATCAGAAGAAACACGGGGGATGCAGCTGTGACCCTACCTATTGCTTATGGTAGGGCTGGGTACCACTGCGGGTGATGCTGCTGCCAGCCCAGCCGAGACAAATTAACCTGTCCGGGGTGAACATGACCCTCTCTGCATTGCTTTCCAGCCACTGCAAGCCACCACCATGCTGCAGGCAGCCAGGAGAGAGGCAAGAGGGCTCTGGCTTCTGCCAGCCCCCCTGCAGCTGCCGAGAGGACGCTGCCAGTTTTGGCAGCCGCCAGCACCAACTCGGCTGAGAGGACGCTGGGCGAGAGCCGTGGGGCCTGGGACGTGGTGGGGTTTGACAATGCAACGAGGATGGTGCTGCTGCCTTCATCCACAGAGACTCGTCGCCCGGGTGAGCCATCCCAGTTCAGCCTGGGAACAAAGTGGATGCTGTTTTCTGGAGAAACCGGGCTCCCCTGCATTGCTAGCACTTTCTGCGTGGGATCCAGCCCTCCATTCTCACCACGTGCTCAGGGCAGTTTTCTGGCCTGCTTCATGCACAAGGGTGGAGAGAAGGATCCGTGTGGCTTCTCCTGGCCTTGAAAATTATGAATTACTCGGTGCAGCTCCCAACCACAAAGTTGCTGTACGCAGAGCACAGGGAAGGGGACTGCAGGCAGAGGGTGGCAGCGGAGGATGCTGGCTGGGCAGCTCAGGCTGTCTCTGTGCTCTCATTTAATTTTCCCCCTTGCCTTGCAGGTACCAGCGGCCCCTCTCAGCCGGCGAGCGGCTGGGTGGGCACGGAGCTGCCTGGCAGCCCTCCCACGGGCACTGCAGCCACCTCACCCAGCCCCTCGGGGAGCAGCGGGGGCACCCTGCTGCCCCTCCATAGCACCCTGCTCCCTGGATCTCTGGGACAGCCCCAGTCCTCCGCCCAAGCTTCCAGTGCCCAGGCTGGTGCAAACCACATCACGATACACCCCAGGGATGTCACAGGGGACTCCACAAGCCCTTTGCTCACAGCATCGCCTGGCACAGACAGCGCTTTCAGAGGTGAGCTTTGCTGGGCCATGAATTTGGTTTTTAGCTTTAAAAAGCCTTTACGTAGCTTTTTCTTTCTTGAAACAGAGAAGATGCTGTGTTTTGCATGTGTTCTGTTACTATTTGGATGGTTTGCTGAAATACCCTGCTGAAAGCAGGAAAAAGCAATGGAAAAAATCATTTGGTCCGAAAACCCCCAAGATTTTCCACTTAAAAAAAAGAAAAAAAAGGTCTTTCGACCTTGTCAGTGTGTTTTCTGCAGGGTGGGCATCTGCAGCTGCAAAATGTCTTGGCTGGTTCAGTGCCAGCTGCAGAGCAGAGGCGAGGTCCCAGCCCCACCTACGGTGCGTGTCCCACCCGAGTGGTGCTGTAGTGGGGCATGAGGTTGGTAACCCACGCTCACGGCCATGCCAGGTGCGTTTGCTCTTGGCTAGACAGGGTGAGATGCCTGTGCTTCAGCAACCTGTACAGAACAACAAACCTGAGATTCCTGCACTCCATGGCTTCCCCTCGCTTGCTTTGCAAACAGCTAATCTCTGGAGCTCTCAAAAACAGAGTCTTTGCCCCATTCCGCATGAACTTAGTGAAAACCTCAGTGTTGCCAAGTCCTTATCCTGTGCCTGGGGCTTGCTAGGAGCAAATACATCTTCAGGGTTCTCACATTGACATGTTCCTTCCTTCTGTCACAGCTGCTGGGAGCAGCATCAAGGCTGCAGAAAACCCAAGGTCCAGTATTCAAAGGGCAGTGCCCAGTTCTGTGTCTCAGCCCCTGCCCTCAGCACCCTCCTCAGTGGCCCCAGCACAGAGACATTTCCCTGGGCCCTCCACGAAGCACCAGCTCACCCCTTCTCTCCCAGCTTTGGAAAGCGCTGCCACAGGTGAGCTCGGTTAGTCTACAGTTTGTTGTTTTACCCTATTTTGTTCTTCCTTAAGCATTTTTCCCTGTGTCCCATTAAGACCTGTGATGTGTAGTGAGGTGCGGGCTCATATGGAAACATGGCTGGGCTCAGGTTTCCTCCCTTTGCTGTTTGATATTGTGTTCAAGCTACAAAAAAAATACTAAGAGAGCCTGGGCTGATTTCCACCAGTCTTAGAGCAAAGGTGGGATTTAAAGGCAAGTCCCCGCAGTCCTTGTCCCATGAGGTTTCCTGCTGGCTGAGCCACCCCAGCTCTTGCAAAGCCGTGCTGTCCTGGCAGTGAGCCCCGGGTTTTGTGCAAGGTCTTCCTGCGGCGAGGGGATTCATGCCTTTCCAAAAGAGCACTTTGTCCAGATTGAAAACTTCCTATGCTTAATATCCATATGTGCGCTGTAAGCATCTGGGAAGAAAATGGATCCATCTGTTTATAATTTCATATGTATAAATCCAAGTTTTTTATTGTGCCGTAGCCATTGGAAGCAGCTACCAGCCATCCAGCATCTCAGCCACGGAGAGGAGAGTTTTGGATTTCCACACCACCAGCACCTCTGTTTTCACAGCAGTCACCAAGGGTGCAGGGAGGACGTTAAGGTCTCTGCCAGCCAGCACCAGGCTGGCCAATACAGCAGAGATTTCCACCTCTGGTACCAAAATCATCAGCTCTTCAGACCAGACCTGGTCCCCTGGGACATCTTTGGGAGCCCAGGGTGGTGGTAGCAGAGGTGCCACAGACTCGTTGCTCATGGGCTTGCTGTCTGCTTCGGAAAGCGCTTCCACGAGTGAGTTTTTATAGCTAGTCGTGTAACTCAGAACATTATTTAAAGACTCTTTATAAACAAAATACATCCTTTTTATTTTAAAGAAAGGAGGAATAATATTGTATTTGGCACATTCTGTACATTTAAAAACATTTCACAGAAATGAAAGTATGGATAAATATTATTCTTGTTGGAAGAGGAGGATAGATTTTCCATGAAAACTTTCAGTTGAATTTTGCAAGCAGTAACTTCAGGAGTTCCTATATAGAGACCATTTTTTCCCCTATCTTAATGATTTCCTAGTATTAAATATTTCCGTATTGAATATTCACACATACATTGTCTACATCTACCAATAGCAGGATGAAACCTATCCAGCTGTTTCCATTTATGTCTATGCAGTTTTATATTTCTTTTCTCCTTTTTTTAGCCTTTAGCAGCAATTACCAACCCAAGAGCATCCCAGCTGCAGAAGAGGTGATGCTGCACTCGGACACCCACAGTGCTGACACACCCAGCGTGGCAGTGGGGACACCGGGGTCCCCCACAAATGGCCACACAGCCGGGGTGACAAGGGGCTCTGCCACCAGCACCAACCCCACCAGCTCTTTGGGGGGGACCTTCTCCTCCTTGGGGGCTGGGTCACACCGTCCTAACAACTCAGGGGAAGCCACAGATCCCCCAGCGCCTCCCGGGGATCCTTTGCTCACAAGCTCCCTCTCTGCCTCCGAAAGTACTTTCAGAGGTAAATTTGTTAGTCTGAAAGTTGGCTGCTTTGGGGCTGGATAAGATTTTACATCCCCACACTGTTTTTCTTTAGATACAGCCGTCAGTCACTATTGGATACATGGATGTTTTTATTACTGGCTGCATCGGGCTGGCAACGGGACTGGTGGGAAGGGTGGGAGTGGATCTCAGCTTTTGGGTGAAAAAGTGAAAAACATCAGTGTCCTCATTGCTAATGAAACTCCTGTGCTGAGAAAAGCAACCATTGGTTAGAAATACGTGCCTGGACGTATTTCCCTGCCAGAGACACCTTTGTGGGGGATTTGCAGCCATCGCCTGCGCTGTGCCTGCTATGCAGGCTGATCTGTAAGAGAGGTGGTGTTTTGGGAGTCCCCGCAGCCACAACAGTGCTGACTCGCCCTGTGCCCTTGGAGTGGTCCCAAGTGAGCTCTGCCCTGCTGTTCACCACTAATTCACCATTAATCCCTTCGCTCTGCGAGTCGTAGTGCAGATCCTGCTCCGGGTGAGCTGGTGAAATATTGGCATCCCCAGCACTGCAGTTTGGGAGAGCCCTGGGGCAACACGCCTGCAAAACAAGGGGAGAATCAGGCTGGCTTGAACACCAGGTTGGGGTGCTGAGATATTTCTGAGCATCTTATGGGTGAGGCTGTGTCCCACCCTGCGTGGTCCTGGTCCTCCGTGCCATCAGACTGGCGCTGAGACAGCAGCTTGGCTCTCTGGACTGTTACTAGAAAACCTAAACCTGTTTTAGCTCATCCTCTAGATTTGGTTTGAAGTTAGAGGTGTATACTCCTGATTTAAACAGGCTGGAAGGCAGCTTAAACACATAAATAGGGTATTGTGCACAGCCTGACAGTGAAAAACATGCTTTTAAGTTGAGATTTTAATGGATTTTTGTAAGCCACATGTGCTTGAACGTACGGGATTCACCTCTTCCTAGAGCAGTGCCTTGTCCAGCTTGAGAACTTGGTCTATTCAGTTTCTCAGCGAACAATGTAGAAATGTACGCTGTACAAACATGTAAAGTCTCTCAACATGCATAAATCAAACCTGGTTTTATTGTATCTTAGGTGTCAGAAGCAGCCACCGACCAGTTAACAGCTCCGTGACAGAGAAAAGCCCCTTTGCTTCCTCTTCCACCGGTGCTTCCCTTTCAGCCGCGGCCACCGGCAGCGGCGGGAGGCCCCCGCGACCTGCCACGGGCAGCAGCCCCTGGGCAGCAGAACTCGCCACATCCAGTAGTGCCACGTACGGGACCTTGGGCACGATCCTACCCTCATCCACGTCTTCTGTGAGAGAGACCTATGGAGTTCGTGGGTCCAGGGAAATCACTGATTTCACCGAGCGGGTGGCAGACCCTTCGCTAACACGCTCTCACTCTCCTTCGGAAGGTCCTTCCCCAGGTGAGCTCAAGTTAGAAGTGAAATACCATTTTTCTTGTAAGGAAAAGGAGGACTGTTACTGTATCTTACACTTGCCTGTCTCTTATCTGCTATGCAGAATATATTGTTTGGAAGGATGCAGTGTGATTTTGCGTCTGAAATATTTCAGCTCTTGCTTGACCAAAAAATGTGGTTTGGGTTTTTACAGAAAGGGCATATGTGTGGAGAGTTTCCTTTTGCCAAGAAAAATAATTAACTTTCAAATCACAATTATTTTTTTACTATCTCCAGTTACTATCTCCATTTTCTAGGCAAGAGAATTAAGCAAGAGAGGATTAGATCATGTCCATGCAGTCCCAGGGACCAGATTTCAGTTCCTGCCCAATGTCATGCCCCTTGGACCATTCATCTTCCCAGAAATTGAACCAGCTCAACAAATTTAAGGCAACTTTGAATGTGGTCTCAGAGGTCCTTCACGTTGCTGTTTGGTCCTAGATCCCACTGCGGTACTGAAGGGGTCTGATCCCCTGGTCCCATTTCTTCAGACTTCTCTAAGACCTTCACACTGTTCAGTGTTGTGCCTTGTCTGAACTGACTTCCAGGCTTTTCTGGGTTGTTACAGTATTTGTTCTAGCAGCATGGAGTGCAGTCAGGCACATAATGGTGAAATCAAGTGCACAGCATTAGTAGTTCAACAGCTTTTATATAATAGAATTTTTCTCAGCATCAAACCATGTTTTTTAGAAGACAGATTTCTGTAGGAAGGATTCATGTCTTTGGAAATTTCTTATTTTCTCTGGATTGACATCTTTTCATATTTTCTGCTTGTGCATGTACTGGCTGCCTCTAGCTGTTACTGGAAGAAAGCTCGCTGTTTATTTATAGTTTCACATGTGTAAAAATGTGAATTGTTTCTTTAACACATCTTAGCTACTGGAAGCAGCCATGTGTCATTCAGCATCCTGTCAACAGCGAGAAGAACCGATTTCCTTACCACCAGTACCTCCGTTTCCACAACAGCCACCAAGGGTGGAGGGAGGACGTTAAGGTCTCTGCCAGCCAGCACAGGACTGGCCCAAACAACAGAGATTTCCACCGACACCACCAGCTCTCCAGACCATACCTGGTCTTCTTTGGGAGCCCAGGGTGGTGGTGGCAGAGGTGCCACCGCGTCGTCCATGGACCCATTGCTCACGGGCTCGCTGTCTGCTTCGGAACGTGCTTCCCCAGGTGAGCTCTGACTGTCCCCGTGAGGCTTCTTCCTCCAACGCCCGCTCTGTGTGCAGCAATGAGGGCATGTGAGAAGTTGCTGAGCAATGGCAATGGGCATTATGGAGGAAAATTTCAACTTCCAGAAAAAAATGCATTAGCTGTTTTTTGCGTTTAGTCACCAGAAAAACCCAGCCTTGCTGCAAGAGCAGTCTGGCCCTGAGATTTGGTGTGTTTACTGAGACAGCACAATTACAAAACTGCCCTGTTGGCTGTGTTTATATAAGCAGGAGGCAACACCAGTCATCCCTGGCTCCCGCCCTGGGATGCAATGCAGTATTCACTGATCCCATGCAAGCCTGCCTGCTTTGTTTCATTTTGAGTATCAGGGAGTTAGGCACTGCTGTCACCCCGCCTCGCTCGCCGTGGGCGCAGTGGTAGCGATGTGGGCGGACGGTGCCCGCGGCTGGACTGCGGCACTGGAGGGAAGCAAACCCAGCAGTGCTCCCACAATTTGTTCCCAGTGCCCTCTTCAGGGTCTCCTCCTGTGAGTAGCACCTCCTTGCACAGGAAAGGATTGTGTCTTCACAGTTAGTGTTTTCACCAGGTTTGAATCTTCTGCCGTGTTATATCTGTGCCATCAGCCTAAGAGCGGCGACGGAAGAGAGCATGCCCAGCTCTTTATAGCTTAGGGTGTACAAATCCATTTTGCTTTGCCCTTTCTCAGCAGAAGGGACCTTGTCTACGGGAGGACGCCTGCCTGATACTCCTCTCACCAGTACGCCCAGCTCAGTAATATCCACCAGTGATGGGGAGAGAAGCACAATGCCCGTGTCAGATACCCGTGCAGCATCCAGCTCTGCTCCCGCTTCGCCCCACGCTAGCTCCCTGGGCATGGCCCTTCTGCCATTCTCATCGTCAACAGAGCCTGAGAGGCAGAGCGATGCTTCCCAGAGAGGTGCCAGGCTCGATGAGCTTCCAACGAAGTCGCTGCCTGCTTTTTCTCCCAGCATTTCAGTGCCTTCACCTTCACCAAGTGCGACAGGTGAGTCTTGTGGTTTCCCAGTTTGCTGTGGAGGACATCACTTCATCTCTTCTCACCCCCTTCCTGAGCTCCTACCCTCCCTTTTCTAGCTTTAAACTAGATATGCCTTTTTGGTAAGCCTGGTTTATAGTGAACGGCCTCCAAGTCCTGACAGCCAGGCAGCTCTTCTGGGCCACATGTGAAGGCTGCCGTGGAGCCTTGACCTCAGCCCTCAAACCTGAGGAGCCTGGAATGAGATGTGGCAAGGGCTCGGTAGGCCTTTCGCTGTTCCTTTTAGGCCAGTTATTGTGTGTTTCAGCCTCAGCTCTGTTGCCAGCGTCTCACCAGAGCTGGTTTGAAACCCACTGGTCCACCCAAGGGAATTTTCTGCAGGATGTTCAACACCAGGTCCTACCTCCCTGCCACCGTTCTCCTTCAGAAACGCCATGCACCCCAGTCTGGTTTATTTTTCTGGTGTAAATGAGAAAAGTAGACTGCCTGGGAACCCCACTTTGCAAATAAGTGATGTTGGACACCAACTGGCAATTCTGCTGTGGGGATTGAAATATTCAGATTTTAGTCCTTGTAGAGGCCTCAAAGGTACTATTAATATACAAAATATATATTTTGATATATATATCTAGATATACCTCTGCTTTGCAATTCCAGAGAGAGGAAGAAGAGTTTCTGGTGCTCCTACTGAGACCATGTACATCTCGACCACATTCTCCAGCCCTGAGGAGGGGACATCTCAGGCTGCAGCTAATCATGGCCAGTGGAGCACAGCAGCAGAAAGCCTGACGTCTCACCTGGACATGTCTGGGGAGCCCCACACTGGTACCCCCATCCTGTCCTCCACGGCATGGCCTGGAGCGGGGCACATCTCGTCCAGCCGAGCAGGGTACCCAGAGCCCAAGGTCACCCTTTCATCCAGGGTCTCCACCTACTTCTCAACCGCTGCTGAACTTTCCAGTGAGTTTTTCTGAACTCTGGGATGGTGTTTGAATTAGGAAAAAACCCACTGCCTCTCTTTTGCCCTCTCCCATGGGGTTGATATGACCACCAACATGTGTCAGAGCTGTTGTGGGTGTTGTGGGCAGGATTTATAAGCAGTGGTGATTCTGCTCTTTGGTTATTGTATATCTGCAGCTTTTGATGCTTAACAAAAAAGTCTCAGGAATGAGACGTGTAGCTTCTTGCTGTAGGATACATCAACTACCTGCCTGCATTGGGGTGATAAATAACATGAATATGACTCTACAGGTACCGATTGTCCCTCTGTGGACAGTCCTGTTTCATTGGAATAGGATTTGTGTGTTAAATCCACATGTAAGCTGATAGATATGTGAGATCTACTTAACCTGTATTTTAGTCTGTGTTTATCTGTGCAATTTTATTAATCTGCATTTCCAAACAGAATTATTGTAGAACTCATAAGTGCTCTCTGCCCTGAGATGATATAGTCAGATGCCTATTTTTTGATCCCATTCCAGCTGTGGGCAGCAGCCGTCGCTCCCCAAGCAGCTCGAGTGCCGAGGAAAGGATGCCCGGCCCCGTCACAGATCCCGCATACAGTTCATCCACGTCTGCTGGCGGTGGAGAGAGGACGCTGTACTCGGGGACGGACGGCACGCTGGCCGGTGGCACGGAGAGCCCTGCTCCCCACGCCGGGACCGCCAGCTCTGCAGGGCCGGCCCAGCCGGCGTCGGTGGAGCGGAGCGGGACGGCCAGCGCCTCCACCAGCAGCGGGGGCTTCACGGGCTTTGTGACAGAGACGCTCTTCACACGCTCTTCCAAGATACCCACTTACTCTTCTTTCCAAAACGATCTCACGAGTAAGTTGGTGGCTCGCTCCAAACATATGTTTCGGTGGGGGGGAGGTTCACGTTGTCCTGCATTTCTCCATGTGGTAAAGTTCTCATTCATTAAGACATGCAATGCCGCCTGCGGGTTCACTCAGAGGGATGTTTTCATCAAAGGACTCAAAGCCAGACCCCACCTAGCTGGGGAGTCATTCCAGGAGTGAAGCCATGAACCCGAGCAGGGAAAGTCTCCTGTTTTGATGGCCACATTATTGTTCTTGCATCCTAACTGGTTTCTTTTGGGTAATGCTTTCAGAAGTGTTTCACAATGACCTAAGTCAATTGTAGAATTAAACCAAGTTTTCAATACCCTATTTTTTATTTTTAGAGATTGAATTTAGCTGTGCATCCTGGAAGTTGTATTATAGGACTGACTGCACCTTTCATGCGAAATAATCTGAACATTTCACAGACTGATGTGCTACTCATTTAGGATTTCCTGACTGCAAAGTTTTCAATCAATGAATTCACGATAAGCTGCAAATTAACATAATGTAATAATTTCATCCTGCAGAGGATGAAGTTCAATGTGTCTAAAAACAAATCGACTGAAGAATACGAATATTCTTCAGTTGGGAATGGAGGATAAGAGGGAGAGGATATGAGTCTCATAAATTATGAGTGATAAAGAGAGCAGATGGGTTTCCTGCTTAGCTTGCCACAGAAAATCTTGGAATGATAAGTGTTCAATCACATTAGAAAATGGGCTTGGATACCCATGCTTGGATGGTGCTCTGTACCAGTTCACAGTCAAGAACATTTTATGCATTTAGCAAGTGATTTTAATATGACATCAAAATACTTTCATATTGTTCTGTCTTTCTCATATATTTTGTCCTTTTATTCCAGGCTTTTTAAGTAGCCATCAGCCAGTCAGTAGCATCAATGCTGAGAAAAGGACCTCGGTTTCTCATACGGATGGCACATACATTTCAACTACATATACCAGAGGAGGAGAAAGGACCCTCCTGTCTATCTCAAATAGCAGCACTTCTGCTGACTCCTCAGAAAGTTCCACCTTTTTTTCTGAATTTTCCAATCCTTCTGATTCATCAAAAACTTCTGTGGCACAGGACAGGAGGAACAATGTATCCAGTGATGGCAGTTTTGTTGAACCATCTACAGAGCCATTGCTGGTGCACTCTTCCAAACCGTTGACTTCTGCTTCTGCAGGCAGCGTGCAAAATACAACTCTCTTCAACACTGACGCTGAGTTGTTGACCACTGACAGGTCATCTCTGTCTTCATCAGCATTTCCAGCCTCTTCCTCACTGTCATCGCTGCATAACTCGCCATCATCAACACCACCACCAACTTACCTGTTTACATCATCAGAATCATCTGAGCCACTCTCGTCCTCTGTGATGGCATCTTCACCCCCTCTGCAGGCTTTGTCATCCTCCTTGCCCACTTCCTCATTGCTTTCCCCATCTTACTCATTAGCATCTTTATTGCCTCTGTTTTCATCACCATCATCCATCTCACAGTCCAACGACAGTGATCAAGGAGGCACCTCTGTAGCTACAGCTGTGGTCAGGCAGCTGCCCTCCACAGCCGTCATGACTGGGAGCTCACCCAGAGGGACCAACAAGCACAATGTCACGTACCAGCCCCAAAACAGCACCATCTTCACCTCCACTGGGTCTCCTCCTGCTACAGTGCCCATGGAGCAGCTTGGTGGACGTATCATGTCCATGTCTGCTCCCACAACGGTAACAGAGACCACCTCACCGAGAGCCACCACCACCCAGGGGGGTAGCTTCGGGAAGGCAACGCCACTGCTCACCCCAGCCAGCAATGCCCCACGGGCTGGGCTGACGGATGCGCCCCTTAGTTCCTCACCAAGCGCAACAAACCAAAGCATCATCATCCCTGAGGTGGCACTGACCACAGTGAAACCCCCTGTGCTGACAACACTGGCCAGTCGCCAGCCAACCCCAAGTGATGCTAGCACCATGAGTACCCACAGACCTCAAACGCCTACTGCCACTAAGCACATGTATACCACTGGTGAAAGTGCAGAAGCTGTGGATCCCACCACTGCAAGGCCTGGTAAAGTCACCGAAGAAAACATCCCTGTTACGAGCCCTTCTGAAGCCTCTCCAACCAGCAAGACCACTGTGAGCATTGCAACTACTTTGGCTGCTACCAAACCAACCTCCACTCCTCCATCAAATAGCACGACTGCGCTAAGGATGTCATCTCCAGCAACAGGTAACGTGTCTAACGGCACTCGTCAGTGATGAGGCCGGGGATGAGGGGGCCAGGAACACCTGGGTCCCACTTTAAGGGACTTTGAAAGGTTATGTATATATGTATGACAAGTCTGTTGTCAGCAGGGTTTGAGGATAAGAACTCGGTCTCCATGTTGGTATTTTTATGCTAAGGTTTAACAGTCAAGCTGAACTGCTTCAAAAGAGTGAGCATTTTGGTGAACATTTCTAATAGAAAAGTTAAGCTGAAATTTGAGAATTTTAAGAAAATAAAGCTGACTGGCCTCGCAGGTAAGCATAGGATGCATTTTATATTTGTTGATTGGTCGACAATGTTGATTGATATAGATCGATATCTATCTCATTAATGAAGAAAGGTGGTTGGCCAGCACTAGGTATTTGTGTTGTAACTTCTTCTGTTATGACCTATGGTCATTTTCTCCCCACCTCACTAAATAATCTCCTACTCAAGTGCCTGTTGCTTTTCCTGGTAGGCTACATACTGTAGTCTTGCTGAGTGTGTTGTTACAGTCATTTATTACCGCTGCTAGGCTCCTTATCTTCTCAAGTAAATACACTGATGGAAATTTTATATGAATGGAAATTGATTGTGTGTTTAAAGTTCAGGACCCTGGTCCTCATGCCACTGCAGGATATTTTGTGTGCTAATTGCATTAATCTCAGTGAAATACTGGCAATAGTATATATTCCATTCAATAATTAAGTACTTAAAGATTAATTCTCAGGCTGATTGATTTTAATGATAGCTGCAATTATGTAAAAAAAATCACTATAGTGGAATGGATTTTTTTTTATTGAAAAATTAAGGTAGCATATCCTTTTTATCAACTGATTCACACTTTTGCCAAGTTACTCTTTCTGTTAAACACCAAGTTTTGCCATTTACCAGAATGCAAAAGATCCTTCTGCTGCCTTAGACATGGTGCTTTGTATGTGGGCACTCACTGCCATGAGAGAAGAAGCTGCTCTGGTCTCCACTGTACAAAACAAACTGAAGGACAGCTAGTGAACTGGAGTGAAAGCCAATGTTTTAAAGCACACCCACTCATTTCTGGCTGCTTAAATCTGAGACACCAAATCTCCTTCTCGCTGACGCTGAGGTAGCCGTGCCAGGCTAGTCAAGACATGGAGATTGTGTCAAACAATCTGTCCCAACGCGGAGGTTGGCTTGGGACTGTCAGGTCTGCAGGGCCTGCGTGATGCCGTGGGGTATCGTGGCACCATCAGAAATACACACATGGGTTTGGCTCTCGTGCTTTGTGCTTCGACCACAAAGCCCATCCTTCCTGCCTCTGCTGCAGTGCTCAGCAGCAGCCACAAAATAGGTACACGTGGTGTGTTGTCTTGCTCATCTTGTAGCATCTTGTTGCCAGAAAGTCCACAGTCCTGCCTATGATCTGCCCTTGCACGTATGTGTGACATGTTTGTGCTCATGTCAGTCATATACATGGGATTTTTTTTTTTTTTTTTCAAAGGGAGGTATTGGATATCTTCTCCAGAATTTGCAGTTTGAGTTGGCTAATCTATGAAGCATCTAAGACTAGCCATTAGTTCCCTAATCCTCCATATTTCACAGTTGATGTCTGCTCCACAAACCCTTGCTCATCCAGTGGGAAGTACATTACGAACAGTGGCACAGGCAGGTATCACTGCTGTGACCATCCCCAACCTGGCATGGAGGAGGCTGCAGCCCCGGTCAAGGAGGTGACAGCAGCCGGGGCTGCCTCCACCATTACTGGGTAAACTGCAGACTGTGTCAGTGTTTGAGCACAAGCTTTGGATCATGGAAACAGGTCCTGGATGAAAACAGCAGGCCTTTGGTGAAGGAGCCCATGCTCCCGTATCTAGCTCTGGTTGTTGAGGTCCCTTCTTCGGTCTCTCCATCCATAACTGTAGGGTTGTTTGTCTTCGAAAAACACCCTGAGATCTGCAGATGAGCAGTTCTGTAGACAAGCTGGATGTTTATGTTAACATTCATCAACACTGGATCCCAAGAGTTTTTGAATGAATGTTCAAGAGAAAGTGCTTTGTATTTATTCTTCCAGCTCCAACAGAATAATTAAGAACAGGATAAATAGTAAGTGCAAATGATGCAATGAAGCATCTTATAATGCTCAAGGGGTCACAGAAGAGGAGCCAAGTTGATCTTTTTTAGCCCAACAGCTGATGATTTTTGTGTATCTCTAACTATCGCCTGTTTTTATTTCTGCTTTTGTAGATGTGGATAAATGTCTTTCCAACCCTTGTCCTGCGCTGGCCACCTGCAACAACACCCTTGGCTCCTATATCTGTCAGTGTCCTCTTGGATATGAGCTGGAAAAAGGAAAGTGCAATTTAGGTAAGAAAACAAAAGTGAACAAACAGGAGAGAAAAATATGGAAATAATTATCTGTAATCTTCTCAAATAAATTAACCTAGGCTCAGACTGGTTCAGGAGCTTAATGTTTCTCCCAACCACCACTCTTAACAAGAGCCTTTTACTGTTTATACAAGTGCAGTGTCTAATGCCTGTCGTGTTGGGCTGCCCGGGGGAGCAGGCACAGTGATAGCTGAGGGTTTCTTAAAAACACAGCAACAGAGCGGTGGTCTCAGGCTTGTTAGTTAAGGACAGATGTGCCCCTTCTGTTCCTAAATGTGTTTTATAACCCCCCAAAAGTGTTCAGCAGCTTATCATAGCTCCCAACCCTGCAAACCTGGGTGACAGCATTTGGCTTGGGAGAAGTGAGTGGGACTGTTGTGTAACCTGGCTTCAGTGGGACCAGCCATGGGCGGAAAATTAAGCAGCCGTGAAAGCCTTTGTAAGATCAAGGTCTTGTTTCATACCTTTAGAATTTTTCATGCAGCACAGTTATTAGTTGGAACTCAGGTTCTGGTCCCCTCCTTTCTATTAGAGGACTCTCAATCTCAAGGATTTACAATGTCCCATTGTAAAGAGGAATTTGTTTTGCTAGTTTCTTCTGACTCTTAATCAGCGAGGATTAGAAGCATGGAAATTTTGCTAAGGAAACATGGGTGAGGTGTCCCCAAAGGGTGTTTTGAAACATTTCTTCAAGTTGGAATGTGTCAGCTTCTAATTTAGAGGGTTGTTTTGATTATGCCTTGAACTAGGATACAGGCAGATTATATAATGCTATAAAGGTGATTCTCATCTTATTTTTACCCGGAGTTGTTACGTTCGAGCTGTCTGATATAAAATTTGTGGTGAAGATGGGCTCTGTGGATGGGTAAAAATGGGAAAGAATTGGAGGCTTTATAATGGTATCTGAAACCGTATTTGTTTTTCTGGTGGAACATAAAACTGGAGCTCTGAGTTCTCATTTCCACTGAGTATCTCATAACACTTAATACAAGATTTAGGGATATTATCTCTCCAAGTCTGGAGAACTTGGATTATTGCATTCTGCTGCAATGAATCAAATATGAATCTAAGCACAGAAAAATGCATCCTTTGGACCTCTTTTCAAATGTCATTGCTCATTCTGTCCAACAATTTGAAAAATGAAAATGTCCTTTCTGTAGTGTTTTATTTTGACTTGCTGATTTACTTTCCTTCCATTGCGGGGAGGGGTAAGAGACTTGACACATTTACCCCAAATTATTATAAATAGCTTTGGTACCTGAAACTGTCTTGTTACCAAATTTACCCAGCTCTCTCTGTGTTCAGGGATCCCTTTAAATTAGTCTGTGTTTCTATATGAAACATATGAATGCTGCAGTAAAATGCTGGCTGTTGGGCAGCATTGAGCTCTGGAATTTGACCAGGGCTGTGGGAACATCGCAGCAACCCTTGGGAAAAATCCCAAGGCTGGGACTTTGCTTTATTGGGGCAGTGACTCTCAGATGTGAGTTTTCTGTCAGCTGCATGAAGGGGTTTTCCATGCAGACAGTCTCTCATGTAAGGTGGATGAAACCGCAGCTACACGTGGCACAGAGACACGTGTTCCGACTAACTTGTCTTATTCTCCTTTTTAGTAAGAATATTTATCGGCCAGGTCCCCCTGAAACTTAATCTTACCTATGGGAAGTACACAGAGCTCCTCCACGTCGAGGGTGAAATTCTGGCGATGGTGAGTGTCATTGCCAGGTCATTGGCAGTGGTGATGGGACAGGTCCCCTTTGGTCCTCTTGCTGTTGTCATAGGAAGCCATGAGACTCTGTAGCGTAGATTTAGCCTTTTTAATCATCAAACCATCCTGGTCTGGTGTAAGCAGGACTGGTGAGATGTACACCTTCAAATCCCAGCATGCTTCTCTCCCCTGCCCTGCTCAGGCTCTCAAGACAGCAGCAGAGAGATCTGGCTTCTATGGAGCGTAAAACAGCATATTTGCCCAGAAAATCCTGAAGCTCTTTATGTGAAATGGTGTTGCTGGGTTCAAGCTTCTGTAGCCACCATCCTTTCTTAGTGTCTTCTGGCTGCATTGCCTTTTCCAAACCTTGAAAGGTCATTAGTGCTCCTCCAAGGTTAAACATTAAAACAGTAACTCTGGGCTTCGTTGTTCAGCAGTAAATCTCACAGGTGCAGGGGTGTGTTGGACTGCAGTTGGTGCCTTCTTGCTCTTAGCCAAACCCCTGTGATGAAGCACAACAGCATCACCCACCCAAACATACCTTCCTCTTGGTGGAGTGTCCCAGCCATGCTATCGCAACCGTGTGGTGTGACCCTCGGTCAGTTGAGAGCAAGCACTGGGTGATCTGGTGGCTTCCACATACGCTGTGCCATCAGTTGCTCCAGAAAGACCCCTGGGCTGGGGATAGGTACAGCTCTGTGCGTTTTTTAGCCAGATCAATGCATGCATGAGTTTGTCCTGTTAGCAGCTCCTGGGCTGGCTGAAGTTCATCCCAGCTCTTTCAGGAGTAGGTGATTTGGAGATTCCGCCAAAGGAGGGGGGAGTCAGGGTCAGTCACCTCGATGTGTCCTGCACAGCTTGTGCTGGGGAGTCAACACAAACAACCGCATGGACCCAGGGGCAGGGAGGCTCCTTGGAAGATGTGCAGTCTTTGAGGGTGCCGCTTTGAGCTTGGCCTCATGTGGGGCTCCCTCCCTGCTGGCTTCTGGCTTGTCCTCAGCCTTTGTGGTCATTGCACAGTGGGGTCCCAGGCAGATGCTCGTGACAAAATCCCCAGGTCTTCATTCTTGTCCAAGGCTGTGCAATGGCAACTTCAGCCATCCCTTGCTGGCAACAGGACGATGCATCTTTCTTATTGAGCAGATGAACTGCTGGGATGCTCAGAGCCCCCTTGGTCCCAGCAGACAGCTCTGGCAAATGCAGGATACCGTGTTGGTGACCCAGGAGGGCTATCCTGTGCTGTGTCTTGCTGGGCTGCCTCCCTCCATCATCCCCTGGGGCACTAACAACTGCTTTCTCCTTCTTTGCAGCTCAATGCATCCCTGTCGGGCTTGCCTGGGTACCACCACTCCACAGTTAAGGCAACCAGGTAAGGCTGAGGCTACCAGGGGAAGAATGAGAAACTCGAGCGTTCAGGGTGTTCAACTTGAAATCCACATTCTCCATTTTGAGTTGGTGCTGGGCTTGATGCAGTCTGACCTGGTGGTAGTACAGAGCATGGGGAATGCCTGACTACCTTACTCGGTGCTCCCAGTACCCTCCTCCTGGCCTGAACGGCTTGGGGATGGGCTTGTGAGCTGCCCAGGAGGGATTTATGGCTGGTTTCAAAGTAAGCTACCAGCACCCCTTCCAGCCCCAAATTTACCAATCAGTTTTTAAGTTGTTTTTTTTTTTTTTTACAATGCGTGGCTGTTTCAGTATGTATGCAATATTGTGTCTGTGATAAACATTGCTTGCATTAATGAGTCCTATGTATAACGTGTGTTTGTAAGAATTCTGTGTATAAGGTACTAACAATAACATCAGACTGACCCGTGGTACTCAGGGCTGTTTTGTTTTGTTTTCTGTTAGGGAGGCAAATTTTGTGCATGTTTCAGTGCAATCCACGTTCTCTTTAGCATCCAATGTGACTTTCTACGACGTTGTCAGCAGCGTGAAAAGCTACATTCGAGCTTGCAACTCCCCCACTGAAGCCTGCCAGTTCATCTCCAGCCTGAAACTGCTCCACAGAGGTAAATAGCATCTGGAGGGACTGTGAGAGGAGAGGAAAAAGGGTGTTTTATTTGGCTTCTTTTATAAGAGGGGGAGAAAGATTTTGGCGTTTGGAAAAACCCCTCTGAATCTTTTTTTATCTTACTTAAATGGGAGTCATCTTAAGAGCCTCGCAGTACAAAAGGGATGCAGATACCAAGCCTTATCTTTACCACATGTGTGAGAAATCTGCCTCTCTGTGAAAACATCATGCAGCACAGGATTAGAGGCATTGTAGGGCAGCCTTTCATCTCTGGGATGTGACACCCGGCCCCAGCCAGATCAAAAACCCGAAAGTCTTAATGCCACCCGCGACGCCGGGAGCTGGGGAAATGGCGTGAAAGCCAAGAGACAAAACCCCCCAGCGAAGTCAATTAGAGCAGCTGGAGGCTATGTGGGAAGCTGTGCTCTCCTGCCTGCCCAGTCGCAGTGTTGCAGGGTGTAAAAATGGTTCACAATTAAGAGCGTTTGATTTCTGTACCGAATGCTCTCCCTGCCGAAGGGGAGCGTGGGTGAGGCACAGACACACCTGGAGGAGCTCATCAGTGTTGTGCAGGACCTTCTCCGGGTGGGCCCCACTGGTGATGGTGGTCCTGTGCCCCGGACCTCGCTTTCTGAGGGAGTGATAGAGGAGATTTAGCTGTGCGAGGTACTGGCAGGGTGCAGGGAGTGAGCACCCTTGAAAGATGGGCTCCTGTGAGGGAGCTTCTGCACGTGGAGCTCTGTGATTTTGGGGTTCGAGGCTTCAAGGTTTGGCTTTGAAGATGAAGGACAGCAGTGCTTAGCCTGGATGTAGTGGGAAACCCCTCAGATTGTTTTGGCAAAGTAAGCATGATGATGAAAAATTTAGCATGTGCTTTTATTTTAATGTGCCATATTCTAAAGCCACACTCCACCATGGATTCAATTAAATTATTTTGGTAGACCTGCTCAGATTATATATAGCTGTTACCTCTGATACAATGCTTCTGGTAAATTCTACTTCTAACTTGAAATCAGCAGAATAAGACACAAATCATGTTCTTGCGTAAGTACTTAAAAGAAAAGATATCAAAGAAAAGAAGAAGATGATGGATCTAGCAGGGAGAGGCTTAGAAAAGGTGCGTGCCTAATGACTGACACATTTTCTATAAAATCCTATTTCTCATGAATATTTTTTCATTTGCTCATTGCATTTAGTCTCCCAGTAAAAAGTATAAATTCAGTATCACAATTTCCATCATTTACCCACAATTTTGCTGAATGCTCATTGTAACTAATCTGACTTTCTAAAGTAAAGCACTGCTTCAAAGTAATGTGAAGGGAAGGACAAATTCTTTGAAAAAATAAAAAATCCAGTGCTTAATATTGAAATGGAAAAAAATTCATTTGGGCTGAGCAAAATGTTTTGCTTGATATAAACTTAAAGATTGATTTGTTGAACTGTCTCAGGGGGTGAATGTGTTTCAGCTTGAGCCAAACCAAATTTTTCTTTTTCATTTCCCCTTCTGCCTGTGAGCTGAAACATTTATTATTCGCCTGCTCTATTTGCCTGTACAAACGATGGTAGATACGCAAGAAATAATGACATCGTGTAATGTTGACTGTCTCCTGATGAAACAAATATTATTTAAAAATAAAAAGAGTTTAAAGCTGCACATGAGCTGAATGTGATGCCTGGGGAAAGCAAATGTGCATAACGTGGGTTCAGAGAGAATTGTGCTGATGTTGGCCGCCTCTTCCCGACAGTTGGCAGCTTGTGCAAGCAGAAAGACCCTGAATGCGACAAGGAAACTTCTGAATGCACAGACTTTGATGGAGTTGCGCTCTGCCAGTGCAAAAGTGGGTACTTCAAATACAACAAGATGGACCACTCCTGCAGAGGTATTGCTCTTTATAAGGCATATTTAGCCTGAATTTTGCTTCAACTTTTTGTTTCAGTGGAAATGAGTGTGTGTGTGTGTATTGCTGTGCATGCAATAAGCTCAGTATTATGAATAAATATTAGCAGCTCAAGTTTCTTTTATTTAGTTAGGGGACTTTTCAGCAGACACAGAAGATACAGTCTCTCTCTAGGAATAATATTATCTCTTTCTGGAGCATGCTGTGAGTCACAATGATTGAGAAGAGGGAGAAAGGGGCCCGACTGCTTTGGGCTCCAGTTCAGTGGCACAGAGCAGAGATGACGTGCATTTCTGCCTGTTTTGATTTTGTCTGAACTCTCAGCGAACTTAGGAGAAGTGCTTTAAACTCACAAGCTTACATTAATACATCATCAATATTTTTAAAATAAGTATCTGAAAATGATTATGAGTTTATTTTTCAGCTGGGTTCCTAATAGAAATTTTATGCTTAAGGGTTATATTATTTTTTTAGCTACTCCTCAGATCATGAAATCTGGTTTTGCTACATTTTAAACAAGGTCTTTGTCTGCATGCCAGTGGTCAAAATGACTTCTGTAGGATCAGGGTGTCTATTCCCTAGTTCCAGCGGCTGTTGTAGGGCTTCTTAAGAAATGCAGTTTTCTGATGACATATCAATAAGAATTGCAGTAATGGTTATATATTGCTTCTGGCAGTGTCTGCTGAGTCGCTGTTGAAATAGGAGGAGATGCTTTCTCGATTCAAAATCTGATCAGAGAGTAAGAAAATGTTCCTGGAAATAACTCATGTGCTGCAGGCTCTAGGGTGGACATCTTGGAGATGGACATCTCTGCATCCCAGGTCACGGTCCTGCCCCGCCTTTGTTCTGTGGCTTCAGGCAAAACCTTTCTCCTTTGTGCTTTCCTTACCTCTCTTCATCTTGTATCTTGAGGGAAGGGTTTCTATTAGGAAATACTGACCAAGTCAACCAACCCTTGAGTGGCAGAGAAGGGCTTATGTAGTGAGTGGGGAGATGAGCTGAAACCTGGGAGGCTTTGCCCAATTTTTGCTCTGTCATTGATGGTGGGGACCCAGGATGAGTTACTCCATTTTTTTTGTCGGTGTCTCTTGACAAGTAGCGTTATGAAAATAAATACCTGAAGTGTTGTGAGGCACTCAGATGCGATGATTGCAGAGGGATAAGAGATCTAACATCTTGTACAAGTGGTTACTCCCTACTTATGGGTCTTGTTTACTGGGCAAAATATAAAAAACCTTACCTGCCCACAGTGAGGCCTTAATTCCACCTTCAGCTTACTGCTGTTAGTAGGAAACATCTTATTGACCAGCTTGAGAGTGTCTGAGTGACAGGATTGATGCGGGATTTAGGCTGCAGTGCAGTGGTGTGAGGGTAGCACCAACTGCATGGTACCATGCTCCAGCAAGGTACCAGATTTTCAGCATCACTTTGTTTCCATCTGGGTAAGCCAGGTGGTTGGGATTTTTAAAGGCTTTTTTAAAAGCCAAGCTATGGCCCTTATCAGATATTTAGAGCTAATTTCTGATAAATATAGCATACAATATGCCAGCCTCTTTGAAAATCTCTGCCTTCTTAGTGACTAAACAGGAACTGAGGTCTTCTGAGCATCTGACCCTCATTGTGGGTCATGAAAATGTGGTGCAGTAACTCCAATTATAGTATTTGCAAAGAGGGAAACAGCTATTGTGCTGCCCTGTCCGGTCTCCCCTGTGGGAAGTCGGGTGCGGCTGGGAGAGCTGCTGGGGCACGGGGGGTCGGCTGCCCTGACCCCCAGGGATTGTTCTGTCCTGCCTTGAGGCGTCTGTCCCCTGGGGCAGGCTCGAAAAAGCATCCCCTGGACCAAGGAAGGGTTGGGTCTCTGAGCCACAGGAGTTTCGACATGTTGGCTATGGTACCTCTCGGTGTGCAGTTCGTCTGTCTCTGGGCTGTTGCTGGTTTTCAACCTTCCTGGTATCTTCAGGGCTGTTTTAGAAACAGAGTGACAAACCCAGTGTGCCAGCTTTTCAAGGGCATGCTATTTTTTAATGTACAGCGTGTTTCTGGAGTGAAGCAAGGAGCAGCAAAGCAGGTTTCTGAAGAGACCCCTGAGTCTCTTTCGGGAAGGCAAAGGCAAAGGAATTGCAAGTAGAAAAGCACAACTTGATAGCTTTGCTTGGCCCCTGACACTTCAGCCTTTCCTCTGTTCCCTGCTCATATATGAAAGCTTGCCGAGTGAGTGTGACAGTGCAGGCTCTCCTGGGAGCATGTTCAAAGGATCAGGAAAGATGCCAGAAGAGAAAGCAAAGTGGCAGGAAAAGTCAGAGTGAGGAGAGGAAAAGACATAAGCACCAAGTGTTTAGGTAAGACAGAGATACATATTCAGGATCTCGCTTTTCCTCTTTACTGCCCCTATAGCCTCCTGTCCCGAGAGCTGTGAGCCGGTGGGGTCCCAGGGCTGCTCCTGCCCAAGGCACGGCTCCAGCTTTGAGACCGCCCAGGGTGTGTGTGCCCTACACACGTTACTGGGATAGGGCTGAGGGGGTGAGGTTAGGCTGGGCTCCAACATCTGCCTGCAGGCTCCTCAGCCCTTCCCAACACGCAGGCAGCGGGCTGGGGTACATGGGGCTGCTGCGCTCGTTAGAGCAGGCAACTCCAGTGAGCTGTCAAGGTGATGCCTCCCTCCTCTTCACTGCCAATTTCGCTATTGCCTGATCTTGTGACTTGCTTTGGTAGAACATTTGCTCCATAATGCTTTCTGTCTGCTTTTGTTAGTGAGCGAAAGGAGCAACACATCCAGTCACATTTTGCTAATACCTCCATGTTATGGACGAGCCAGGCAAGAACCTTTTAGGATTTACTACCCTTGCTCTAGCTGTTTGTTGATGGAGGCTCTTAACTCTTGTCCAGTTACCTCTGGTCTCTTCCTTAACTTCAAAAGAAACCGTCTCAGAGAGAAAAAAATAAATCCAGTGCAAAAAGCATTGTGATGGTATGCAGCAAGGGGGCTACGTAAAGAGCCTTACCTTCCCCATCCCCAGCTCTGGGGGAATAAATGGAGTGAAAGAGGTAGCGGATGAATAGGGTGGCTATATGGGGTAGAGAAAGGGGTGCAAGACCAGCTATCATGGGGTGCAAGACCAGCTATCACGGACATCAGCCCCTCCCGTCGTCGTTGGTGTCAGTTACTATGGCAAGTCTCTGCCTAGAGCTGCAATATTCCTGATGTGAGTGCATCACTTATCTGTGTCCACACACCCCACAGGGAAAATGGCATGCTGAGTGACATGAGATGCTCAGTAAATGGTATATAGGCAAACAGTATTTCAATATGACCAGAATCAAGGCCAGGCATCCAAGAGCAGAGTGCCAGGGACAGTGTGGGGTGTGTCCTGGGCAGAGGTGTGAAGGAGGCCCGGTGGGTAAAGAAGAGGTCCCCAGCTCTGGCTTGTAAAGCTAATATGGTCCCTTAGTGCATTTAGGGGGCATGGGCAGGCAGAAGAGGGCAAGTTTTGTTATCCCTGGTCTTGTGACATCTGTTTTTTGGGAACCAGAAATCAAAAGGGTCAAAGAGAACTTGTGAGTGTTCACAGAAAAGCTGCAACAGCCAGTGAGACTCAAAGATCTCAGTGCACTTGGCTTTATTAAAGGCAAAGGAGTGATTTGATGGTGAGGAGGAGAAATGTGATCATATAACCTTTTCCAATCTAGCAAGTAAACATCCAAAGGCTGGAATTTGACACTGGGATAATTCAGACCAGAAAGAAGGTGAATGTTTTCAATGGCTGGGGAAATTAACTTTATGAGCATCTGACCCAGGGTTGTGGTTGATTGTCTGTCACTGAAAATATTAAAATCAGTCTTGGATGGTTCTCTAAAATGTAGCTCCAGTTCAACTATTTGATTTTAAACGAGTTAAATTTAGGGAAGTTCTGTGACTTGTATTATGAGGGGGAGGCCACAGTCACATTGCTCCCTGCTGGCATCAATATCAGTTGTTATTGGTGCCGGAAGAGGCATAAACTTCTGAATCCAGCCAGAATACTACTACTCTCTCTAGGTTTACTATGATATTGCCAGCCCATCCTAATGGACTGTGTTACACATTTGTCCTTTTCTTCCTTCCTCCCCGCCTGTGCTAAGTGTTTCTGAAAATACAGTTGTTGGCTGCACCAGAGGGGAAGGAGCATCTGGCGTGCTGGGAGCAGCAGAGGAGGGGGTGAGGGCTTTGCTGCGGCTTCGCTGGCACCTCTGCTGGGCAGCCCCTCCTCTCCCCGCAGATTTCCCCGCGCTTACCGGGGTTAGAGTGCCTGAGCTTTCAGCTGTGGGTTTTCCCAATGGTTAGGGAGCGAGGCAGAGGGAAGAGGGCTTGAGAGCTGCTGCCTCACTGTTTCTAAGCATATGGTGTTTGAAGGCAAAAGAAAAAAATCCATGAGCATTTTTGTTTTCACTTCACAATCTAGTTTTATTCCCTGTGGAGTGTGCTGCAGGGGTTTCCCAGACCCCTGGGTGATGGCTTGCAGGCCACCAGGGCTGCTGCATGTGGTGGCCCTGGCTTGTCCCCCTGCCCAAAGCAATTCCATCCATGTCACTCCTATTGGGGTCTTTGAGCGACCACCTTCGCTGCCTCTGCCAAAGGCAGTGGATCTGCAGGAGTTCTGGTGGGACTGTTGCTGAGAAAAGTGGTGATTTTATCGGTAATTTGAAGCTTATATTTTTATGTTCAATGTATCATCACCCTTGCTGCTCATCAGAAGGGTAGTATAATTTTCTCAGTTAATTCAGGTGATGAGGTAGCTGTCCATAAACACAGAAGCGGTGGTTTCAGTTTCTCATCAGAATTTTGTATATAGCAGTTTTCTGGGTTACTTAGGCCTAGTATACTTAATTTCTATAGTGAATTATGATATTTAAACATTTGATTTAGCTCCAAATCTGAAGAACAGGAAAAAAAAGGTGACATGAGGCAAAACATAACATACCACTTCGGGTTACCCTGATTGTGTTTACATAACATTTTGTTACAACCCTAACATTTAAAAGTAATTCGTAAGGTGCAACCATGCTAGAGTAGCACTGTTCAAATGAGGTTTCAAAACAAAAACGGGAGGCACTTGCAGATTTTTTATGCTGCTGTTTTGTGGGAAGCAGTACAAGTGTGCAGTGAGTTTCCATTTGGGCAAGAAGGGGTTCTGCTGGGAATTACGTTACCAGCTGCCCACCCTGTGCCAGGCTCTGGGCTAGCTCTGCTGGGAAGCCCCAAAATGGTCCCGTTAAAGCCAGCAGGAAGTGAATTTAAGTGCACGGTGTTTTGCCTAAACCAGAGGAAATATTGCATCACATCAGAGTACATCACATTCCTGCTGTGCCAGCAGCGCAGACCGGCCTGTTGGTCCCCAAGGTTGTTTGGGGGGAGACTGCCGTGGGAAGCAGCGATGGGAAATGCCTCCCCTGCACCACTACGTGGTGCTCATGGCCCTTCTCTCTTCTGTGTTTTTAGCCTGTGAAGATGGATATAAGCTGGAAAACGAGACCTGTGTGAGGTATGGTGACTGTTCTGCCCTTCTACCCCACCATCCTTCTTAATATTGCTGTGGTGACCTGTCAGCACAACTAAGCTGCTGAAACTCCCTTTTGTTTTCTGTTACCAGCTGCCCATTTGGCTTAGGTGGATTCAACTGTGGAAACCGTAAGTACTGAGTTTTGTTTCTTTTAATTTCCACAGCATCAGAAATGGAAAATTTGACACAAATAATTGCAAATGGCTACATCTAAAATGCAGTAGGTACATGCTACTCTTGTCAGTGGTATTTGCTTCTTCATTTCTGTTGAAAGCTATTTTGTTGACCTTCTTTGACAAAGTTGACTTAATATTATCTCCTAAGGATAGGCAATCTACTTTCTCTGGATACTCTGTCCTGATAGCACATGTAGTGGGTACTCTCGAAGTGAGGTATTTGGAGTTGAATCCATTAAATACTGTTTGAGTTATTCTGATCTTTCAGTGAAGGGAATCCATCCCCTAGGGATATAAGAGCTTGTTCTTCCTTCCGCAGGAGATCACCAACTTCATCCATTTCACTTGGAAATTTAAGGCAGTATTGCTTGCAGAGGGAGGGAAGATGGGAAATAAACAGTTAATCCCTTTGCATGAGGGCTGTGGATATGTTTACATTAGTATTTACAACCATATTGCCCTTTCTAAGTGAGTCTCTGTGTTTCCCGTCCATAGCCTATCAGCTCATCACCGTGGTGATCGCGGCTGCAGGAGGGGGACTTCTGCTTATCATGGGCATAGCCCTGATTGTCACCTGCTGCCGGTAGGTACTGCCACCAGCCCTGGCTCACATGGCATCTCCTCAGTGGGTCACACCACACTCAGTGTTCCACACGCGAACCCTGAAGGACCAAAACAGAGGTGAACACAAAGGATAGCTAAGCAATCAGCTTATTCAGAGATACTGAAGTATTACCCTGTGCTTTCATTTGGGGCATATCTTTTTTTTTTTTTTTTTCTCCAGCAACCAGGCTGAAAAATTGAACTGGGTGTCTCTTAAGGGTGACCTGGCAATCATGTCCTCTAAGGGTGAGAGGCAAAAGAGTCCTTCCCATGCAGGGCTGTAAGGAAGCCAGGGAGTGGTCTCTGAAAATGCCAGCTAAGTAGACAGGAGAAGTTTAGGCAACAGGAGGAGTTACTGGCCATTGTTCAAGTGGTGTTTGAGTGTGTTTAAGGCTATTTTCATTTTCCTTTATGGACAAGTCCTGAATGTGCTCTGAGTCTATGTGTCTTTTTCTCTCAGATGCACACACGCATGAGGACACATAGTTCCTCTATTAGCAGGTGCAGACTAGAGGCAACCTGTGCTTGCCAAGGAAGCTCTGCTTCATTATTTATGTATCATGAAAAGGGCTGCCTTGCAGTAACACCCTCTCCTCGCCATTCCAGCCCCCAAATCTAGAAGTTCAAATCACTCTGATTGCTCTGATTAAAGTTGGCAGCTGGATTTATCAGTAACATAGAAATGGCCGTGGTTTGGTTGGCACAGTGGTGTGCACTTGTTCTCATGTTTTGAGCCAAGGGGACACCAGCAAACCCCAGCCAGGAGATGTGATGGCCAGTAGACCTCCAGGCCCCAGATGTCTGCAGGGATGGACTAATGTTTTCATGAGTCCTGGCCTTTGGCAGGTTATGTCACTTCGTGGAGTGCTCTGCTTTGAACTGGAAGCATCACCAAAGTCCACTCAGACAAAATGGTAGTCATATAGGGGCATTTGGTGTCATTCAGACCAGCCCCTTGCAGGTCTTCCTTCTTAAGAATTAATATGCCCAGAAGTGCTGTAGTTAAGCGCTTGGAGTCTTGAATAGCATGGGGGGTCCCTGACCTGGGGACAGGCTGTGTGGTGTTTAGCTGCTTTCTGGCAGTCCCATATGTTTTTCTTTCTTCCTATTTTTCAGCAACTCTTTCATTGACTCGGGTGAAAACACACATTTTTAAGAGACAGAGGGCATAAGTTGGAACAGGAGAGGTTGAAACTGAATGTAGGGAAAAACTTTTTCACCAAGAGGACAGTAAGGCATTGGAACAGGCTGCTCAGAGAGGTTATGCCATCTCCATCCTTGGAGATTTCAAATCCCACCAGGTAATGCCCTGAGTAGCATGGTCTGACCTCATATCTGATTTTGCCTTAGAGCAGAAGATTGGACCATAGCCCTTCTGGGGTGATCTTTGTTCCCAGTCGAGGTTCATAACATGAAGTAAATCCCCTGAGATCATGTCAGAAGTGCATACAAGAGAGCAGGATAAATTGTATGTTGTAATTTTCCTTCATTCTTTTATAAACAGGAAGAATAAAAATGACATAAGTAAACTCATTTTCAAGAGTGGGGATTTCCAGATGTCACCATATGCTGAATATCCAAAGAACCCCCGGGCACAGGAGTGGGGCAGAGAGACCATCGAGATGCAGGAGAACGGAAGCACCAAGAACCTGTTGCAGATGACAGATGTGTATTATTCGGTATCTATCCATAGCTTAACTATTAATCCTTTGTGCCTGATACAGGAAAGACACATTCCTTTATTTTTGGAAGTACAGATCACTTCCCTGCAAAATAAAAGAGCAAAGCAAATGACTTCCATAGGCAGCAAGGCATTGGGAGTCCTATGGAGTCTAGCTATTACATGTGGTGAATATCATAGAGAGATATCATTAGGAAGAGTGGTAGGGAAGTGTCTAGGAGCATTTTGGTAGATGACCCAAAAGCCCAATCCTAGAGTAGAGAAGGACAGTTAAAGAATTTGGACAGACTGCTAGGCATCGCTATGGGTAGTTTTCTCCCTTCTACCCTTGCTGACAATATTGGAAGGTTGAGACCTCTGCCTGAGGGACTTCACCCTGAAATAGGAAGATGCTGGTCACTGAGGTCCCCTCTTTTCTTCCACTCCTCCTCCCCTCTCCAGGGTGCAGTCCCCTTCCTGGCACAGAAAGACACAAGCACAAGACCTGATGTCATGGTTGGTACCATCTGCTAATGTCTGTATCTAGAGCTGTGATGCTGGTGTATCATCTGTCACTAATCTACAGCAACATACTGTATGTACTTAAGATGTGTGGGGGGGTTACTCATGTGAGTGAAGGTTGCAGGATTTCACCCAAATCACACATTCTGGACTCCTGCTTTCCAGAGCAGAGAGCAATGAGCAATACTTTTTGTATTTTAAGTTTTTCAGTAAGCAAGTTTACTGGATTGCACAGCATGAAGGGAAATAATCCTTCTTCCTGCTTCCAGTAACAATGAGAGATTTGGAAATGAAAATGCATTTCCTAAACATTTTTCAAGGCTTTTATTATGCTGGCGACTAGAAAGGGGAGCTTTTTAGCAAGCAATAGGTGATGAGGGCTTTGCATGGATTTGCTCTGTAACAGATCAAACCACGTGGGTGAAAGGGTTGTACAGTCATGGTCTTAGACATCGAAGTTCCTCAACCAAGTATCCCCAGAAGATTTACCTAAATAAGAGAGGAGAAACAAAAGGAAGGTCAGATTACTTTGTATTTGACATGGAATTCAAGTGGTTGTGTTGGGAGAGTAGGTATCTATGGCTAATGCGGAGGGAAGTGCTCCAGGTAATACTCAAAGCAGGAGCCTAACTTTGATTTTCTAGAAGTATTTCCTTTAAGCTCTGGGATAATATCCTTTTTGTGAGAGTTGTTTCAATACCTGAGCTCATCAGCACAATTCTCTTGGATTAAAAATTAACTGTGCACTTAGGCTGCACTTGGTGGAGCCAGGTAAACTTCAAATCTGCTAATTGTCAAGATGTCAAAACTATATTACATCAGAATAATCCCTTCAGGAAATGCATAACTCCCATGTAAAAATCACTATAGGTTATAGAGATCATTGGCAATCACTTTGTTCCTTCTAGCTACTGAAATAACTGCTGGGAAAAGTGATAAGACTGTGCCTGAGGGAGGATTTGAGTGTGAGAATAAGACTCTTTTTATTTAATCTTTTTGCTAATACAGCCAACTGGACTGAGAAATCCTGAACTGGAAAGAAATGGACTTTATCCTCCCTACACTGGTTTGCCTGGATCTCGACATTCATGCATCTACCCTGGACAATACAATCCATCCTTCATTAGTGACGAAACCAGAAGAAGAGACTATTTTTAGCAGGGAGTGGAAGGTTGACACAGTTTCATGGCCCTTGATCCCCAGGTACAATCTGTCTCCTGAGCAGTTCAGCCCACGTCAATCTTACTCTTCCCATCTAGCAGGAAGGACTTTGAACTTCATGCCAAGTGTTGCTGCCCTGAGGAACAGTTACACTTTCTGAGCAGCAGAGAGAAGAAGGATGATGAGGAGGAGGGAGTGGCTCAAGATTCACATCTCTAAAAGGCCCAGTTGAAAGTTAACTCGTATACTCTGGATTTGTTCTGTGCTGCTGCTTCACTCTTTACGCTACATGGCAAGCATGGATCAGTACAGGCAGATGAACTGTGCCCAGCACTCTGCATTGAATACCACTAGGGAGTGTTTTGTTTACAGATCTTGTTCACTGTTGACTGTGCTTGTCTTCTTAACCATCCCTCATGCAAAGATTCACTGTGCAACTGCTTTTGGTAGGGCATGTTTGTCCACTCCCTTTTACATTACTGCATTGCCTTCTGCTTTGTACACACCAGGGAAGCTGACTTGTCCGTTGGCCCTCACCTTCTTACCGGTAGAAGTTTTCCAAATGGCTGGGTCCTTGCTGAAGCCTACTGCCTGGCAATGTTGGCTGGATTCATGGGTTGATTGTCTCCAAGGAGTACGGGAATGCTAGTCATACCACTGCAATTTTAACTGAAAAATGACACAGTTGATCTTAGGTGCCGCTTTGAAAACTTCCTCTGTATAGGGAAGAGACCAAGTATGTTGTTGTTTTGTCAACTAATGTTCAGAAGTGATGCCACTACACATCATCATTGTGCTTCCATATAGGGCATTTAGGGGAGAGAGAAGCATGATGCTTTCAGTACTAGCGGAGCAAAGATCACTTATGCTGAAGCGGTTTGCTTTCTTCCATCTTAGTTTCGAGTGATTCAGACCAGGCAGGTTTTCTCAGCTAGGTGTGTTAATTCATATTAATGACTTCAGCAAAAGCTGAAGAATGGTATTATATTTCTCACCAAAGACCAGATTGAAAGGTTAACCTGAGTCATCCAAACCCTGTCTAGATACAGGGTCCAGATACAGATCCTTCCCCTGAATGTGACTGTGCTTTTAATTCAAGGTGGCTGCTTGTATGAGGATAACAGATAGCACAATTCCTTAGCCATTAACCCACCATGTCTGTAGTGCATACATAAGCTAGGTTCACTGAAGGGCACATACCCTCTGATATTCCCTTTTCCCCCACCATGCTTGAAAAGACACAGTGCCTACAAGTAAATTCGTAAGGTAGCTCAGCTGACTGAAGCACTAAGGATCATGGGGTGTGACCCCCAAAGTGCCTAACCCCAGGTGGAAACAGCAGTTCAGGTGCTGATGTGTTGTGTAGTTGCTCCCCAGAGGCAAATCTGAGGTGATGAGGAGCCCTCTCCATTAGGGAGCAAGTAGTAGGACTTGCATCCTACAGACGCTGTGAGTCCCCATATCCTTTCCCAGCACTTTGAAGGCTGTTGTGTTCCCTATCAAGTGATCAACAGCTACTCAGAGCAAGGGGAGCTAGCACTAGTCAGTCATCAGTTGTGTGGGCTAAGAGGTTTCTGATCCCTGCTTACACTTACTGCTATTTTCTCAAAACTGCAGGGCTGGAAAAGCACCACAAATGTACTTGAGAAGACAGCTTGGTGCACCAGCCATAGCACACAAACACCATGTCTTTTTATGCCTCACTCCTTATCTACTATGTAGAAACAGCAGCGTGGGCTTGCAGAAAAACAGATGTTTATGGGTGCCTAGGGCAGTATCCTTTGCACTTACATGATCTTATGGTGACAATGCATGCAACTTTATAACTGTCCAATTCATAATCAACCTTGCAGGTGGTAGTACACAGACTATCTCAACTGCAGGGAGGAAATGAATGGATGTTCACAGAAAGTACAGCCTCCTAAGGAGCTATATTTAAGAAAAAATCTAGTTATAGTATCCAAAATAATGTAGCAGGTAAAACACAAGAGCTAGCTGTTCCCTGACAGGCTGATCAGTGTTCCAGTCCATGAATGATGATGTTCTCCCTTTTGTTAGCAGTTGATAACTTAATTACACAAGATCTGTTGGATGATGTGAACTAAGGGCTTGACCCTGCTGTGCTGTGGGGTCCTTTAAAGAGGACACTGGCAGGGTTGTTTCTGTGTGGGTGAATTGTCTCTGTTTTTGAGAGTGCCTAGGACAGAAAGGACTGTTTTTTCCATGGTACGGAGGAAGGTTTTTGTCTGTGTTGCAAAAGAAAGGGGGAAGCTGGGATTCATGCTAAATCTAAATCCAAAGCATATAGACAGGCACTGGGCTCTGCCCCTATTTACTAAAGCAGCTTAGCAAAAAGGAAGAATGTCTCAGCAATGATGGTAGGATTTAACCACATGTCAGGATTTCATCAGATAGGGAAGAGTTTAGGCACATGCTTATAAGCAAATATGTTTAATTGCTTGGTTAGTTCAAAGACTGGGATATGTTCCTATGTGTGCTAAGTACAAAGTAGGAAATATCAACTCACAGTTGCAGATTAATCCTTCTATATAAAGAGTAACGAGGGCCATATGAACAAAACTCCTGGTCTATATCTCACAGCAAATAGCAAGGGACTTGAGTGGAAATGAGATGGGACTGTTCCTAACCGAGATCACACAAAATTTTGCAAGTAGTTAATTTTAATTTCTTAATGATCTTCAAGTTCTTCTTAATGCTCTATATGGAGTGAAAGGATCTCAGTAAACCCAGCAGGACATTTTGAGTGAGGACTGAAAAACTTGGCCTCTTTCAGAAGAGAGAACTATATTGCACTGAAATTTTTTCTCTGCCAGAGCAGGTAAACATTGGGAAATTTCTTGTGTATCCATTGCAGCCTGTCCTTCCTTTTAGCTTTGGTGAGAAAGGAGTCATGGAGCCAATGTATAGTCCACAGGATGAGGAAAAGTGTCTCTCCTGACCTGCAGCACCTTCTCTGGGTGTCCTAGGGGGCCCCACTCAGCGGGCAGGAGAGGATTTAGGGAGGTGTTAGCACCGGGACAGGTACAGGTGCTTTCCCATACTGTGATCCAGGAAGTATTTGCGGAGCCAGTGGATGCAGCCCGGGGTGATTCAGCCCCTGGGTCTCCACCCGCCCAGCCACTCCCCATGCTGTGATGCTTCCATCTTCACCCCAGCCCCACCAGTCCCAGCAGCACTAGGGCAGAAGGGATGGGTGCAGTGCAGTGTGTAACATAATTTATGGCAGTTATTTTACTGCAATTATTTACTACCACATCCCAGCAGCAATGGGCTTGCCTGGCCGCAGCGGAGGTGGGACCTACTTCTGTGCAGCTTACCTCTGTTAAAGCTGCCATCAGGGTCCTGTGTCTGCTTCCATCTCTGCCATGAACAAAGCACCCTCTGGCATTGGAGTGGGGTTTGTCGCTCCTGTTGGATGTGAGAGGGGTCTTCACATGCCCTCAAGCCCACTTTCAAATGTGGATGCCTCTCTGTTCAGTACCTAACTCTCCGTAGGATGTCTAAATAAGGGCAGCTTATTTCTCAGACTATTTAGATTATTTTTAGCTACCCCAAATTGCAAATTTTTATTTTACTGGATGCTTTTGTCAAGGGGAATTACTCTCTACTGTCCAAAAGGAGAAGATAGAAGTGGAATGTTTCCTGTAAGGAGGATGCAAGTGGTTCAGCCAGATGTGGGGAAAGGAAGAAGAACTACACCAACACTGCACAGAAAACTGCTCTTGCTCCTAGCTGCTGTGGAAAGCTAGAGGAGCAGTCAGAAAGGGCCCCTGGGCAGTTGTGTGGGTGTATTTTTGATTAACTTTGGAAAAAATGCTAGTTCTGTTGTTTGACAGGAAAAGATGTGGGAGGCATATGTTTGCTGCTATAGTGCTCTACCAGTTGTGCTGACAAAATCCCCTCACCTACAGAAATACCCCCAGGAGCCAGTCTAGGAGAGGAAGCTCCAGAGAACAGAGCAGCAAAACACAGATTTGAGGGATCATTCAAAAGGGAGGCTCATATGCACAGCCATCCTGTGTCCCTGCCAGGCACTGCTGCTCACCCGGGCCAGCCCTCCCAGCTGCACTGGAAAAATTGAGGGCCTTTTGCATACTGTTGAAACCTCACAGCACTGAATTGGGCTATATGAGTTAAAAACAGGACAGGGGCGGCATTTTGATGCCCTCTGCCCTCCACGTTTAAAGCGTTAGATAACACAGCAGCAATGAATCTCATTGCTGTTCCCGTGTTTCCTGTAAGTCCTACTGTCACAGTCGTGTACTGAGTCACTCCGTGTGACCAGCCTTCTGAAAGGTATTTGCCTCCACATTGAGTGGTAGTAAAAGGCTGTAAAAAATGCCATAAATTGCAGTTAGAGAGGTGTCTCTCATTGTGAAATTGTTTGTGCCACTACTTTTAAAGGTTTTTTGCCAGGACCCGAGTGAGCAGCAGCACGGGTTTGGACATTGCTGCAGACGCGCCAAGTGCTTCCCCAGAGCTTGTCTGTAGTGATGTTCAATGGCCATATCCGTTCCAAAACCAGCTGGATTTCTCATTCCCTAATAGTGATGTGTAATCTTTAGTTTTCTTCCTTAAATTAACAAGAGCGGATGCTTTTGCTTAAATGCTCTTCCTATGCCGACTAACATTTTTTCCTCCTTACACACAAAGGACCTAATCCAGCATCCATTATAGTGACAAGGATAACTCTCCCATGGACTGCAATTAAGCTTTTTTTAGGCCTGAATTGTTCCACCACAAGGGTCACCTGTGTGTAGTACATGCTTTCCAGTGTCTCTGTGTTCTGCCTATTTCTGTGATACTGTTGCTGCCTTTCCCTGCTGTATTTATTTTTTAAAAGTATACTTATTACTGTAAGCAGAACCCATATTATGTGAGATTGAACAAAACCAGGTTCAAGATCTGAAACACCTTCCTGAGAAGAGAATGAATGGGAATTTTGTGTAGTTGTTTTACTGATCAGCCAACCTGTTTCCTATCATGCAAGATCTTCAAGGGATGTAGAGGTGTTTCCTGCAGTCACAGATAAGAACTATTCTTCAGTTCACTCTTAGTTGTCCCTTCAGAAATGAAGCAAGATCTCCCAGTTCCAAAAGGGGTATGTGCTGTGTTCTTGAAAGACTTTTGGGAGCTTTGCAATGTGTATTTAATTCTTTGTTCCATTGAACTGCTGAAATTGAAAAGCAGGACAGAAATCCATGACGGAGTGAGAAATAACAAAAAAAAAAAAAAAATAAAATGCTTACTTGTTTTGCAGAAGTAAACACCTAAAGTGAGTGTGGCTTCTCTACTTTAAGGTCACATGTAGGATGACACCTCTTCTGTGTCTAGTTTGTGTTGCACATGTGTGATATCCTTGTTGAGGGAAAACCTATAGAGGGTGCCTGATGTTCCTCAAAAGTAGTAGGTAAATGCAAGTCCTTTGGTCTTTATTCTGATAAAATGCTAGTAGGAATGGGAGTTTTGCTTGGGTTAATGACTGCAGCAGGCAGCCCCCAGATCTGCAAAATCCTATATAGAAAAGTCCTGTGGAATAAGTAAAAACTGATCACTTCTCTCAAATAGTGCCATAATATTCACCTGACATAAAAGGTCTCCAATAAAATCTACTTGGATGGGTTTACTTTAAAGAAAAAAATACCCAACAGAATACTTAATAGTTTCCTTTTTTAAATGAAATTCCGTTAAACTTGGTCATTTGTTTTAAGCTCTGTTAAATTCTACAGGACTTTCTCCTAACTGAAGGTCAGACTGGTGTGTAAAATCATAATGGTTTATTTGAGCAGCTTTCAGAATTGCAGTAGTAAAACTCACCTTTTGTGAGCTCTATTTCAAAAGGTAAATTTTCAGCATTTGTTTGTGCTTCTTTTATCAACCTGAATGTAAACCTGCTTTATGTTCTTGACATTGCCCTGTTTCCCTCCCTGTATCTCTGAATGTTTGCTTTCAAGTCACTGGGGTTCTGAGGACATTTTCCAAACCAGTATTATTTAAAGTTGTATCATATTTTCAGCCTCCACTAATTATACAGTACTGTAGTAGCAAAATGTAATTTTTAAGGATTGGATTATTTTTATATCTGCATCCAATATTATTAAATCTGGCGTTCTAGTCAGTACTATAAAAGGATACAATAAAACTATTAATATGACTATGTCTCAGGTTTTTTATCGTCTTTAGCTTTCCCTGTAAAGCAATACATATGCAACTTTTAGATGGTTTTGATTATAATTAGAAATCTAATCTAGAAAATAAGAAATTTTATATTTATTTTGTTCTTCTGGTGGTGCTTGGTGATTGAATAAAATGAAAAGCAAAGAGGAAATGGGTATGTTCTGTTAGTTGTGCTAAATGAACTGCTCAGCTGAAATACAAGTTGTGTTCTGATACGTTTGTTTCAGTAGCATTAATCAACTCAGTTTACTTTTAAGTTTTTCCTCAATTTAATGATTCATCCTGCTGGAATTTCAAGAGAATTGTTGAAGCTGTGTGTTTGTGTGGGTGAGTGCACACTGGATGGAGGAAAACTTCAGGAGAGGTTGGTGCAGCAGGGCTGTTTGTAAGAGCAAGGGACTGGCCCTGACCACCATGAGATCAGTCCTACCTCAGTAAGTGCCACCTGGGACTGGGAAGAATATACAGCTGAGTGTCTCTCAGAGGAAGAAGGATGCCTTGAATCCAGATAAACACACTGTCCAGCCCAGGCGGGGAAAAGGCGTGATGTGGAAGAGCATCTGGAGTAATGGCAGGTACGTTCAGCTGGGACAATCTTTTCCTATATCGCTCCAGAGGAGTACAACACTCAACTGTGATAACTATTGGATGGGACTAAGGTGGGATTAATCTGCTCTATCAGAAGTTATGTGGCCAGTTTGAACCCACCATCTGGCTCCTCCAGTAGCCATAAAAAGAGACAAGCATCCACAGAGGGTAGCTCACCCCATGGTAAGATATCCCTTACCCTTGACAGTAGTGTCACAAGACCCCACAATAGACAACTGTCCTGGATGAAGTGAGTGCCACTCACAGAGAAATTGTGAGTCTAGAATGTACTTCTTGCTACATCCTGAAACTTTAGTCTACTTTCTACCCTGATATAATACAGAATTGTGTTACATGCCTGCTCATTTTCTAGTAAGACTCCAGTGGGAAAATAAAGGAGAGTAACCCAGTTAAATCCTGAGGTTCTGTTCATTTGCAAGAGAAGGACTGCTAACAGCTTTGTTACCAATACTATTGCGAGTTGTTCTATCTCCTCTGTGGTGTTGATATATTTTAAGGAAATTGGCAGTGCAAAGGGCCTGATCACAACCTTGCATGAGACTAGGTAAAAGACCTTTGCAGTTATGGGCAAGCACGTGATTTAACAGTCCTGCTCCCTTCAGATTTGCATACCAGTGCCTCTGAAACCATCGAATGCATCCATAGTGTGTGCCCTCAACCATCTTGGGAACCACCTGAAAAAAAGACAAAGTGCATCTCCTTCCCCTGATTATGGGTGAATCTGTATGTACAGCACTTTGATTTAGAATTTCTGGAGTTTTTGAACTTGTAGCTAATTACAACATGTATTTCTACTTGTGTATGTAATATACAGTGGATAAACCAAATTTACATGAGATAGCAAAATGCGTAGGAACGTAGTAAGGAATAGGATAGAAAAAATATCCAGGAAGAAAGTATCCAGCTGACGCACATGAAGAGCTATAAAAGAGACTTGCTCCCATTTAACATATGTCTTCTGGCAGTGTGATTGTCCCTTGATTACACAAAACCTAAATAATGAGGCTGCACCTTCTAATAGATTAAACAAGACCTTTTACCTTTGATACTTCTTTTTCCTGCCATAAACAAAAATCAAGACAAGAGAACAACTATTGTGTTTGTTACTAAATATAGCACACCTTTTATTCCATAGTATACATTAGTCAGTACAGCTTCTGGAAAGTTATTTAGTTATTTTTGCAAAGAAAGTTTTCTCTGTATTTCCTTACAGAACATCACAACTGCTGTGGCTGTGCGGGTCTGCCGGGACTAACAGTTAGCTACTGTCTAAGTGTGTGCTTAATAACTCTATTAATAATTGCATTGGAGCTGCTGATGTTTCACTGACATCAGTTCTGCTGTTTTGGTAATTCTCTGTGTCTGTTCTCCTATGTCATCAAATCTTTATTACTAATTCCCCAACAAATTGGCAAGCAATGGGGCACATACAGTCTGTCACCCCCTCCTTCTCCTCAGGGAGAGCCTGTTGCAACCACCAGTGTGTCACAAAATGGACAGGGAAGGGCAAGCAGAGATGAAAAAATCTGGTACATGAAGGTGTATGTCTGTTCAGCCATTATTTCCTGGAGGAACTTGTGCCTTTTGTATTGCAGATCACTCACACTGCCCAAAATGTGATTGTGATAAACAGGAACAATCAGGTAAGAATGGAAGTGAACTCCGAAAATATAAGTAATACACTAGCTCCTGATGTTCATTCACTGTAGAGAAGAGTTTTAATGTGCAGGACTACACACTTAACCGGTGGATACCAGTGTAACCAGCAAAGCTGTACCATTTATACCTGCTGAAGATCTGACCCTCATTTTCTGTACTGCTCTGGGAAGTTCTCTTGGTCCTACTTGCTTCCTCATAGCCAACGGGGATTTTAAGACCTGGATTAGTCTAGTTGTACCTTGAGGCAGAATTGGAAAATTGCGATGTATCATGATGACTAAGGAGTCTAAATATGAGAGATGGACATGGCCAGAGGACTGGTGGCATACAGCTCTGCCAGACACCTTCCACGGCCAAGTTTGTCCCCTTCTGCACACTGATTTCCAGCTGAAGCACATGCTGTGGCTCCCCAAATGGCTGGTGTCCAGGGGAGTTGGGTCTCCCTGGAGGCTTGCAGCACAGTCTGCTCAGGACTAAAATGCTTTATTTGAGCAAGACTTTGGTTTTAGTTTTTGGGTGCCCCTGTTCTGCCTGAGGCAAAGATGGGAGGTGTAAGGGTGGCCTGGGGCAGAGTGGATGCTGCCCAAGCAGGAACACACAGCGGTCCGGTGATAAATGCTTCCCAGGAATTTCCTTCCTTTTTTCTGTCAGCTCCCTGGCAAAAGGGAGTTTTAAGGAGGGGTCTGGTGGAACTGAAGGGGCCAGGCTGGATGACTGGCATGGGCGTGAGCAGCAGCAGGGGCAGGAGCTGGATCCATCATGGCCTGGAGGGGGGACATTGAGACCTTGATACCGGCGTCCCCTCAGAGCTTGGGATTTCTGCCACCCCACATAATCACCCTGGTGACCACACAGGGTGTCCACCATGGGGCTTCCCTGGGGCCTGTGGGCCAGTCCCAGGTCACCACGGGACAGGGCAGGTGCTGCCAAGGGGGTCACTGTGGGGACGAGGGATGGGTGTTGGGAGCAGGCTGGGCTGGAGGGGCTTCGGGGCTGGAGGGGCAAAGGAAGATGCAAATTAAACACCTCATGGTTCAGGCTTGGCGCCCTTGAGCAGCTCCATGTGGCAGGGTGCAGAGGGATGAGGCTGCTTGTTCCCCGTGCTGGCAGAGAGGCACCCAACTGTTTTTGCTGTCCGTAAGCCACTGATGTTTCCTGGTTCAGTGCAAGATAAAAGTTTAGGACAACCTTAAGCTCAGTAAATACTTGAGTAATACTTCTGGTCTTTCCCACCCTCCTACATACAAGGAGAGACACCCTCTGAAAATATGAGATTAGTACATGAGACTGCATGTCTTGTCCTTAAAACAGCAGATCAGACAAAAGCAGGTAAAGGAAGGGAAGAGGAGTTTAACACACAGAGCTGTTACTTAGCATTTGGAAATGTGTCTATAACCTGATAGTGTTGCTGACAATGGAGTTTGCCAGAGGGGGGCCAGCTCCACAGCAATTACAAATGGCTTTGTAGGGGATACACTGATGGGCAGCTCATCCTTCTTGTCCATGACTGATAACGATGGAATAACCTGTGTTTATTTCACATAAAGACTTTATTGGCAGTTGTGGCAGGATCCAGGGTCACCCAGACCTTTGAAGTAAGAAAAATTACACCTTTGCCTGAAGAGGAGGAACTGGAAATCATTGTGGGCCATCTGATTTTCAATGGTCTCAAGCAGTACATTTTACTGGAGTACAAAGCAGAACAAGCACATTGTTCAGTGAGAGAACTTGGTCAGGTGAGGCAGCTAAAAATAAGAGGGTTTGGGAAAACCAGATCCTGCCCACAGAGGCCATTTTTCCCATCTTGATCTCTATCTAGCAATTTTCAGAGGCTTCCTGGGATGCAACATCCAAGAGCCTCTGTCTCTCACCAATTTTCCCTGTGTCACAGTTGTGTTACCTGCTCCATGGCCTTCTGGGCTATTTCTCATTTCTAGATCTGCTGCAGGCTTTTTGCTCCAGCCTGACCATGCCTGCTGCCAAATGTCTCCCTGGAACAAACATGTTTCTTCTCCAGAATGGAGGGCTTCCACCCAAATAAAGTCAAACACCCGCTGGCTCTCCTGCCTGCTCTCCCTTCTCTTGCCACACCAATTTATTGAGCCGGAAATACACATAAGATGAGAGCAAACAGAACAGCCATAATCACTGACAGAAGGGTCAAGGTCAGTCCTGTTTCTCTGATGTCAAAGATGCAGGTGTTTTCTGTTACTTTTTACCCTGTTGAGCAGTAAGAAGTGCTTTGACATAAATTTTTGCTTATAAGGAAAGAGCAACTGAAGTCTGAAGCATAGAGTTTGTCTGTACTGGTAATTTATTGGAACGGAAACGAGCATGTGGATCCCAGGTACTCTGCTCCAAGTGTATAATTAGTATGCCTTGGGATGGGATGGCTTCTTCCACTTTAAGAACAGATTATACAGCACCCTCCATTTAATTTGCACTGAAGGTGTCAGTACGGAGAGCTGGCAGGGGAGAACTGATGTGCTGTCAGTTCCCACGCCAGGTTATTTAGCAGTAACTTCCTTGTGTCAACAGGTCTGAAGCATTTATGACTTAAAGGAAGAACACTGCAGGTCCAGAAATCTCCTCCCAGCCTGAGGATGAATTAAAACAGAGCTTGGATCTATCATTTGCTGCTTGGCACCATGACGTCAGCTCAGGGCTGAACTCTACCTGTGGCTGAGACCTTAAATGAGCTGATGCCAGAAGAGAAAAGCACTTTCTCTTAGGTTTAGCAGCAAGTAGCAGCGTCAACAGAAGCGGCAATGAGACGCTGTGTATTCCTCGCTGTGTTGCTCAGCCTGGTGTTGAGCCTTTCGAAAGGTAAGAAACACTATCTTCTGTTTTGGGATTTGACAGGGCAGCTATTCTGTGGCAGTGAATGGATTGCTTAGTACTTTCAGCAGCTGCTGAGAGACTGGAGGTCAGCGGTGATACACAATTCAGCACATCTAGCTTTTGATTAATTAACGACAAAAAATGTCATTGCAAGCCAACCGTTTTCCTTGTTCACAGAACAATGCAAAATCACTGGTGCTTGTGATTAACCTAATTTAGCCTATTCCAAGAGCAGTTTTCAGGACCTGCACACTAAACCCAGGTAATTCAAGATCTATTACAGTCATAACAAAAGGTGTGACTGTTCCACCCCAGTGCCCAGGGAAAGGACCGCTGCCACTGGCCTTCCGGCCAGAGCGTCCTTAAACAATCAGCCTGGAAAGCAGCGCCGCTTGAGCTGGCTCGCAGAGCATTCTTCCCCTCTTGTTGAAATTAATTAATGGAAACTTCGCCACCAACTTGAGTGGCAGAGAGATTTACCGTGGTCTATTCAAACTGAAGGGCAGGTGCCATTCCTTAAGCCACTTACTACTTTTTCTGGCATTGTGACAAACTTGGTAGTTGTGCGCCAGAGCCTCCGCCCAAACTTGCTTGTCCCCGCTATTCAGTGACAGATACAAGGGAGCGAAGGCATTATCAGAAGTTGATCTAAGGCAACTATATAAAGAGTTTTGTGGAAACTTGAAGCTGTGAGACGTCAGGAACTCCCAGCTAATATGGAGGCAAAGTTATAGAGATAGGATCCAAGTTAAGACCTTCACTGATGCTGTTAAGTTTGCAACTGGTGACAGATGGTTGTGGGTCTCTGTTGACTACTGTGAGTGAACATATGTATTTTCAGCAACTTCTACAACATACTACAGACCAATTTTTAGTTATAAATTGTAAGCATAGAGGTCTTCAAGATTGTCAGTTGGTTTGTTTTCTGTTTAGAGGCTTGTGGGTAACAACAAGATGTGAAAAACCTTGACCCAAGAGCAACTGAAAGCAATGTGAGTCTTTCACTTACTTGAACAGACTTTGCATCAGGATGGGCCTGCCCAGAAACCTTTTTCATTCTAAGCAAACATTGTAAAAGCTTCGCAGGACATGTCTGTTTGAATAGTACTAGCAAAGGCCCTGCCCTACTCAGCAGCCAGATGTCTCTGTTATTCCATAACCTCGTCCGTAACATCCATTTCTTTATCTCCTTAGTAAACGCCTAAGTCTATTAACACATCCTTTTTCCTTAAACAGAAGGTTGGGTCTAAGCAGAGCCATAAAATTGCCACCTTTGCTCAGGTTACCTTTGACAAGCCTGTCATCAAGTTTCAATTGCAGCTCATGTGCTCTGCTGTCACCATGGGTGCGATTCTTCCCCAGTCCAAAGGGTACTCCTGAACAACTGGTTAGACAGAGCCTCTACAAGGCTGACAGTTGTTGTAGGCTAAGGACTAGCTCTGTGAGAGGTTTGAGAAGGCAATCTAAACAATGCTTCAAAACCATGGCCTATGGTCAACATAGATTCATATTATCACGGTTATAGGAAAAATATCAATTTCTTTACATTGGCTGGGAAACAAATAATGCTGCCTACAGGATTTGGTGACAAATAGAGGCAGAAGATTTGGCAGAGAACTGGCACAATTGCTCGTTTCCTCTTCACCTAGAGGAGACTAGATTACTTCAGGCATTGTCTTTTTGATTTGACTTTTCTACGTCAGCTTTATTGATCAGAAGAAAAAAGTTTATAAAATTTGTCATGTTGGATTTTCAAAGCCCTACAAAGACCTTGCAAAGTGGGGTCTCTTTTTCAAATGTCTGTTGAGATTTGCAATATATTTTGACATAACACCCGTAAGAGTGTGTTAGTGCTAAGGATTTTAGCCACAAATATAGTAGTCCTCTAGCTGCATGCTATTAATGGCTTAGATTAAATTATGATTGCAGCAGCATTAACTCAGAGTAAATATACTTATTCCTAACTCATATATTAACTAATTCAGATTAAAGTTAGATCCAAACTAGCCAATTGTCAGTATCACACATTTATCAACAAGGCTGCTTTATTATTTGTTTTCCTTACTTCTAGAGAAAAAAAATCCCTTATATTGGGAGTTAAGAATGACACAGTTTAAATATAAAACAAACATCCTAAAAAATAAATAGATAAAATACTTTCAAAGAGTAAACACAGTAAGAGGTAATGTTGAAACAAAAATGTAAGGAAAATTTTCAACTATTGTCTGGTATTAGCCAGGTTTCTCTCGATTCAGAAAGAATTACAACAAGAAAGAAAAATAATAGCAAAAACTAATATATACTGTCATAACAGCATGGAATTGTAGTCCTGGAAAGAAGTTCTTGATACCACTGATGATAATTTAGAAAAATATGCATTCTTTGAATAAAAATATTCTGCTTTCAACGTCCACTTGAGTTTCTAACAGAATAGGAGAAGGTGTTAACAAAGGTAGTCATTCTTTCACAGCTGCTCTGAAGGAGTCCATGTAGAGTTTTTAATTATGCTTCTACTGAGAGCATCTTCCATAGTTGCAAAATATCTATATGTGTATCTTTTGCAGAGAATATATTTTGTGTGGCTATAGCTGAGGTCTAGAGCAGAATCTGAAAAGTCACTGTGAAATGTTAAATGTGCAGTGGAATGTCATGTATATCTAATTAAAAACAGTGCAACTACAGAGGATGCATGATACAAAAACCACTGATTGTTTAAGGGATGAGAAAAACAAATTCACATAGCAGAGGTAGGAGACAATACCGGCACTAGGTCTGGTAGGAACTAGGAACACAGAGTTCCACCAGCTCTCAGGTAGGAACATTTACGTTAGGAATGGGATGCCCTTCACCCAGCTCTGACAGGCAGCACTGCCCATGTGGAGCTGCCTTGGGCAGGTGGAGGGAGATTTCCAGCAGGGACTCAAGCATGTGCCAGCAACACAGCATGCTGCAGTCACCTATGGAAGAAAGGTGGGAAGGGTACAAAACTTCTCTTGGTGGGAAGGATCTAAATGTCGAGGAGAGAGAGAAGGACTAGGATGGAAAAGAACACATAAGTGAGGCATTGGGTCTGGGGACAGCCCAAATGCAGGGCAAGGCTGCCCAGGGATTTGGCTGCTCAGCCCCACACAGGTCCCTCACTGACCTGCTCAGAAGTTGTCCTGCACACACAGAGTTTCCCCAAACTTTACTAATACACAACCCTAAACTGTGCTACCATCTCCTTTTCTGTCCATCAGCAGAGACCAGTGAAACAACTAGTGGCCCACCTCCAACAACAACTCCAGGAACTACAGGTAAGCAGCAAAAGCCCCCAGTCAGCCCTTTCACAAGATGCATTGGAGTTACTGGGTGCCAGAGAGTGCTGCAGTCCCCACAGCCACGAACAAGTTCCCCTTCCCTGGTTTCAGTGAGTTCCTCTCCCAGGGGAGACAACGGTGCCCAGATAAAGGCTGTGAAAAATATCCAACCTTCCCTCTTTCCCTGCTGGCCCTTGCTGCAAGGGGAAAGTGTTGGGGAAGATTTGGAGCAGTTGCTCTATTTCTGCTTGGTTCCTCTGCCTGCCGCAGCAGTCCTGGGCACAGTGGATCTCTGCAGATGAGGTGCCGAGGAGAAGCCCGTGACTGGGCCCTGCAGGGATTGTTCCTGTGGCTGCTTGGCCCATGGTCAGGGAGTGAGCCGGGGCTCACACCAGCATGGGGCTGAGTGCCAGGGATCATGGTGCTGGGGCCACGGAGCGTTTCCTCCAAGGAAACCTCCATATCCTGCCAAGCTCCCTGTCCCACCATGGTGCTCGGGCGTCTCATCCATATGTGCCAAGGCTATTTCTGGGATCACTGTGAGGAGGGGATGGCTGCCCACCCCCCGCAACCGTTCCTCCAATGTGTGCTTGGACATGCACATCCTTCCTGCCAGCAGCCCACTTTCCCATCACGCCTGCCCACCCTCTGGGAAGACCAGCTGCCTCAGACTTTCCCCCAAATCATCGTGGGGAGAAGGACACTGTGGGGAGCAGAGGGTGTGTGTCTGTACGGAGTGTGATGGCACCCCTTGACCTGCTCTGGCAGCCGGCCTGGCCGTGTGTTGCCGCTTTGGGCGGGCGGTGGGAGCTTTGCTGCAGGGAACCTGTGTGTGCCCGTGGCTGAGACAGCTGTGGTCAGTGAGTGGTGCTGAGCTGGGGGCAATAGAGTGCCTGTGCTGGGCATGAGCTCAAACCCTGGGATGTGGGGGAGACGGAGCCATGGACGTGTCAGGTTAGACAGGCATCTCGGCCAGGGAGAGCCCACGGGCTGGGCAAGGCTGCCCAGGGATTTGGCTGCTCAGCCCCACACAGGTCCCTCACTGACCTGCTCAGAAGTTGTCCTGCACACACAGAGTTTCCCCAGACTTTTCTAATACACAACCCTAAACTGTGCTACCATCTCCTTTTCTGTCCATCAGCAGAGACCAGTGAAACAACTAGTGGCCCACCTCTGACAACAACTCCAGGAACTACAGGTAAGCAGCAAAAGCCCCCAGTCAGCCCTTTCACAAGATGCATTGGAGTTACTGGGTGCCAGAGAGTGCTGCAGTCCCCACAGCCAGGAACAAGTTCCCCTTCCCTGGTTTCAGTGAGTTCCTTTCCCAGGGGAGACAAAGGTGCCCAGATCAAGGCTGTGAAAAATATCCAACCTTCCCTCTTTCCCTGCTGGCCCTTGCTGCAAGGGGAAAGTGTTGGGGAAGATTTGGAGCAGTTGCTCTATTTCTGCTTGGTTCCTCTGCCTGCCGCAGCAGTCCTGGGCACAGTGGATCTCTGCAGATGAGGTGCCGAGGAGAAGCCCGTGACTGGGCCCTGCAGGGATTGTTCCTGTGGCTGCTTGGCCCATGGTCAGGGAGTGAGCCGGGGCTCACACCAGCATGGGGCTGAGTGCCAGGGATCATGGTGCTGGGGCCACGGAGCGTTTCCTCCAAGGAAACCTCCGTACCCTGCCAAGCTCCCTGTCCCACCATGGTGCTCGGGCGTCTCATCCATATGTGCCAAGGCTATTTCTGGGATCACTGTGAGGAGGGGATGGCTGCCCACCCCCCGCAACCGTTCCTCCAATGTGTGCTTGGACATGCACATCCTTCCTGCCAGCAGCCCACTTTCCCATCACGCCTGCCCACCCTCTGGGAAGACCAGCTGCCTCAGACTTTCCCCCAAATCATCGTGGGGAGAAGGACACTGTGGAGAGCAGAGGGTGTGTGTCTGTACGGAGTGTGATGGCACCCCTTGACCTGCTCTGGCAGCCGGGCCCGGCCGTGTGTTGCCGCTTTGGGCGGGCGGTGGGAGCTTTGCTGCAGGGAACCTGTGTGTGCCCGTGGCTGAGACAGCTGTGGTCAGTGAGTGGTGCTGAGCTGGGGGCAATAGAGTGCCTGTGCTGGGCATGAGCTCAAACCCTGGGATGTGGGGGAGACGGAGCCATGGACGTGTCAGGTTAGACAGGCATCTCGGCCAGGGAGAGCCCACGGGCTGGGCAAGGCTGCCCAGGGATTTGGCTGCTCAGCCCCACACAGGTCCCTCACTGACCTGCTCAGAAGTTGTCCTGCACACACAGAGTTTCCCCAAACTTTTCTAATACACAACCCTAAACTGTGCTACTGTCTCCTTTTCTGTTCATCAGCAGAGACCAGTGAAACAACTAGTGGCCCACCTCCAACAACAACTCCAGGAACTACAGGTAAGCAGCAAAAGCCCCCAGTCAGCCCCTTCTGGGGACATATTGGAGTTACTGGGTGCCAGAGAGTGCTGCAGTCCCCACAGCCAGGAACAAGTTCCCCTTCCCTGGTTTCAGTGAGTTCCTCTCCAAAGGGAGAAAAAGGTGCCCAGATAAAGGCTGTGAAAAATATCCAACCTTCCCTCTTTCCCTGCTGGCCCTTGCTGCAAGGGGAAAGTGTTGGGGAAGATTTGGAGCAGTTGCTCTATTTCTGCTTGGTTCCTCTGCCTGCCGCAGCAGTCCTGGGCACAGTGGATCTCTGCAGATGAGGTGCCGAGGAGAAGCCCGTGACTGGGCCCTGCAGGGAATGTTCTTGTGGCTGCTTGGCCCATGGTCAGGGAGTGAGCCGGGGCTCACACCAGCATGGGGCTGAGTGCCAGGGATCATGGTGGTGGGGCCATGGAGCGTTTCCTCCAAGGAAACCTCCATACCCTGCCAAGCTCCCTGTCCCACCATGGTGCTCGGGCGTCTCATCCATATGTGCCAAGGCTATTTCTGGGATCACTGTGAGGAGGGGATGGCTGCCCACCCCCCGCAACCGTTCCTCCAATGTGTGCTTGGACATGCACATCCTTCCTGCCAGCAGCCCACTTTCCCATCACGCCTGCCCACCCTCTGGGAAGACCAGCTGCCTCAGACTTTCCGCCAAATCATCGTGGGGAGAAGGACACTGTGGAGAGCAGAGGGTGTGTGTCTGTACGGAGTGTGATGGCACCCCTTGACCTGCTCTGGCAGCCGGGCCCGGCCGTGTGTTGCTGCTTTGGGCGGGCGGTGGGAGCTTTGCTGCAGGGAACCTGTGTGTGCCCGTGGCTGAGACAGCTGTGGTCAGTGAGTGGTGCTGAGCTGGGGGCAATAGAGTGCCCGTGCTGGGCATGAGCTCAAGCCCTGGGATCTGGGGGAGACGGAGCCATGGACGTGTCAGGTTAGACAGGCATCTCGGCCAGGGAGAGCCCACGGGCTGGGCAAGGCTGCCCAGGGATTTGACTGCTCAGTCCCACACAGGTCCCTCACTGACCTGCTCAGAAGTTGTCCTGCACACACAGAGTTTCCCCAGACCTTTCTAATACACAACCCTAAACTGTGCTACTGTCTCCTTTTCTGTCCATCAGCAGAGACCATTGAAACAACTAGTGGCCCACCTCTGACAACAACTCCAGGAACTACAGGTAAGCAGCAAAAGCCCCCAGTCAGCCCTTTCACAAGATGCATTGGAGTTACTGGGTGCCAGAGAGTGCTGCAGTCCCCACAGCCAGGAACAAGTTCCCCTTCCCTGGTTTCAGTGAGTTCCTTTCCCAGGGGAGACAAAGGTGCCCAGATCAAGGCTGTGAAAAATATCCAACCTTCCCTCTTTCCCTGCTGGCCCTTGCTGCAAGGGGAAAGTGTTGGGGAAGATTTGGAGCAGTTGCTCTATTTCTGCTTGGTTCCTCTGCCTGCCGCAGCAGTCCTGGGCACAGTGGATCTCTGCAGATGAGGTGCCGAGGAGAAGCCCGTGACTGGGCCCTGCAGGGATTGTTGCTGTGGCTGCTTGGCCCATGGTCAGGGAGTGAGCCGGGGCTCACACCAGCATGGGGCTGAGTGCCAGGGATCATGGTGGTGGGGCCATGGAGCGTTTCCTCCAAGGAAACCTCCATACCCTGCCAAGCTCCCTGTCCCACCATGGTGCTCGGGCGTCTCATCCATATGTGCCAAGGCTATTTCTGGGATCACTGTGAGGAGGGGATGGCTGCCCACCCCCCGCAACCATTCCTCCAATGTGTGCTTGGACATGCACAGCCCACTTTCCCATCACGCCTGCCCACCCTCTGGGAAGACCAGCTGCCTCAGACTTTCCGCCAAATCATCGTGGGGAGAAGGACACTGTGGGGAGCAGAGGGTGTGTGTCTGTACGGAGTGTGATGGCACCCCTTGACCTGCTCTGGCAGCCGGGCCCGGCCGTGTGTTGCCGCTTTGGGCGGGCGGTGGGAGCTTTGCTGCAGGGAACCTGTGTGTGCCCGTGGCTGAGACAGCTGTGGTCAGTGAGTGGTGCTGAGCTGGGGGCAATAGACTGCCTGTGCTGGGCATGAGCTCAAACCCTGGGATCTGGGGGAGACGGAGCCATGGACGTGTCAGGTTAGACAGGCATCTCGGCCAGGGAGAGCCCACGGGCTGGGCAAGGCTGCCCAGGGATTTGGCTGCTCAGCCCCACACAGGTCCCTCACTGACCTGCTCAGAGGTTGTCCTGCACACACAGAGTTTCCCCAGACTTTTCTAATACACAACCCTAAACTGTGCTACTGTCTCCTTTTCTGTTCATCAGCAGACATCACCGAAACAACTAGTGGCCCACCTCCAACAACAACTCCAGGAACTACAGGTAAGCAGCAAAAGCCCCCAGTCAGCCCTTTCACAAGATGCATTGGAGTTACTGGGTGCCAGAGAGTGCTGCAGTCCCCACAGGCAGGGACAAATTCCTATGGAGTTCAGTGACATAAAGCAGGTAGAGTGAATAGCAGAATTTAGTGACTTGGAAGAGAACTGTAATTACCATCCTATTTCGAATTTATATTGACATACAACTTTTAATTTTTTATAATCCAATAAATTATGTATAGATTTAAAATGCATATTCTAATCCTTACAGAATATTTAATTACTTTCATAACGTGTAACTGTCATTATTTTAGGCAAAGAGCATACCCTATAAAAAATGAAATTTAAAATATGTTTGAGATTATTCTAATGTCCTACTGTTCTCTAAATTTCTTTCCTTTAGTGGCTTTGCTCTCACATCTTTCTAAGAGTTTTCTTTTTCTTATTGCTGTGCATGCTTCCAGGCTAGCCTCTCACAGGATGATTTTCAAGGAAGGATTAGCTGCAAATTTTCCTGTAGTGTTATTAGTCTTCCAAGTGTTTAAATATGTTGGAGTTGAAGGGGACTTGGGTTGGATCAGGACAGAGGCATAAGCCACAGGATGCTCTGGAAACACTGAAGATGCTGTCAGGGCTGAAACAAGAACCTTGCCCTCCTCTTGGGGTAGCAATGACTACCTTGGCATTAGGGGAGAGGGAGAGGTGTATGGAGTCTGTAGATCTTTTGGACATAGAAAATTTGAAGGTAGTGGGCAAAATATGTGGAGAGAAAGGTTACCAGAGAAGAAATACCACAGGCAGGCGTGCAGGGTAAATCACACTGAGCAACGGGTGCAGGAAATAAGGACAAGGCAGTGGCGAGAGTACAGGCTGAGGTAGAAGCAGGTTTGGGAAAGTTTTTGAGGCATCATACCATGCTGCCTTCAGTGGCCTCGGTGTAACCAAGGCACTAACAGGGCTGGCATATTATCTTCCCTTTTCCAGAAATGAACACAACAGGTCCTGCAAGTAAGTAGAAGGTAGCAGCCAGCACAAATCCATGAAGTTTAACTGCTGTAGAAGTATTTTATTGTGGCCAGTTAATATAGTTATTCATATTATGGTGACAGCAGCTATAAACCCTGCAACAAATTCCTTAGTAGCATATTCTGATATCTATTGAGGAATATACACTGTGATGATTAACTTGGGAACCTTGATTTTATTAATGTGTCTGCAGTAAAGTACCCTATCTTGACACTATATTATAACAAGGCAAATGCATACTGGTGCAGTATTAAAGACACACAGGCCATTATAGTCTGCCTTTTTCTAACTTGGTCAATGATTTTGGCAAACCTCAGTTAGCTTTTTGTTTGTTTTGTGTTTAGTTGTATTAAGTAGAGTTAAATTATGAATGCTCAGTGTGACAGATAATGAATTTCAGCCTTACTCTGTGTCTTCACTGTGATATCCTGCTGGATTGTGTAGGGAAAACATTTACTATACAGACATTAAACAAGCAAGGCATAGTCACATACTCTTTAATTGCATCTATACTCTATAAAACATACCTGGTAATTTCCTTTAGTAGAAGTATATATGAGTTATTTATATATGAACTACTTTATATATGAACTGGCTATTGCAATTTCATAGAAATCCTGATGTCAATATCTTTCACCTTAGTATCAGTGGAACTGTGCAACCCAGACCCTTGTGGAAAAAAGTTGGCCACATGTGTTCCTTTAAATAGCACTTATACCTGCCTGTGCCAATATGGATTCTACTATAGCAACGAGGATTGTCATAAAGGTGAGTTGCAGAAGGGCAATCTATAATTTTAGTTACTTCACAGATAACTGCTCAGGTGAATTTTTCTTCCCATATCCCTTGTTCTCATGTTATAACTGAAAACATAATCAGTCTGGGAAAGGGACTGCTGAATAATGCCTTACTTTGCAGACAGCCACTGCTACAATGACCTAGATTGTTATCTCACAAAACAGTAACAGCCAAGGAGGTTAATGTGCTAGGAAAAGAAGGTGCATTCTCTGTCAGGGGTGCTGGAGATTAAACTAGTGAAAAGCAGGAAAAAATGCAAGTGTAAACCTGAAACCAATATTAATGGCCAGGATTTAAAGAGGCTCAAACCTGTGAAGACCTCAGAACAACCAGCTTGATATTCCCTTTTGCTAAACACTCATCACAGTTGAAACGCATCTCTAAGATGCTGCTGAAGGCCAAGCATGTGAACAAATGGGGCTTCTTATTTAAGTGCCAGCAAGCAGGATTTTTTAATTTGTTTGTGAGGCTAAAGAAGCAGGTAGACACTGAATTGCTTTCTCAGGTATGGTGAACCCTGTTAGCTGCTTAGTGGCTGCAAATTTGAAGTCCTTAATATAGGTATTTTCTCACTAAATGCTGTAACACCTCAGATGGAGTCCTTTGTTAGCTTCAGGCCATGCTTACAGTTTAACATTATTCAGTTTCGTAGTCTGGCCAGTTTGGTTGAGCCCAGGATTCTGCCTGCTTCCCATGTAGCCAGAGTATGTCCTCCACTGTGGCTGAACTGATTGAGCAAACATTTGTCCACTACTGATTCCTCCAGTATATGAAAAATAGCATTGCCCAGTTTCTGCATTGTATTTCTTCATCTCTGAAGGCTGGAAACTCTAAGGTGAAACCTGACTTACTTGAATGCTTTCTAATTAATTAATAAATATTCTCTGTTTTAATTCCAGGGAAAATATACCCAGGGAGCATTATACTGGAAGTACTATACAGTAATAGTGTTCAAAATGTAAATTCCGTGCAGTATGAAGAGATGTTCCAAAATATAACATCATTTGTGAGTGATGATAGGTTTTTTTTCTATATATTTAATGCTGTCATGAATATCATGCAAACAGAGGGGATACAAGCTGCCTTTAATGTGGAGCCTAGAATAGTTTCACTTGAGAAACCTACTTCTTTCAAATAATGGTTCACACTAGTTCAGACCTATTCATAAAAATACTTAAATTTTAGCCCTGGGATGAGTCCATGTATGGCTTTTGCTGAAGAGAAGGGATGTATGTGAAATAAATAATATCCACATTTTTAGTGCCACTTCTGTTCTGGGAAGTTCTCACATAAATTGCTCCATATCTTTCACCATTCCCTCTCCAGAAACCATGGGGCTGAATGAAGTTTTCCAACCCATTTAGTTTCTGATCTCTGCTGTTTGCTGAGGGCTAAGTAATAGTGGTATGAGTAAAAATGAACATTTTTCTTTTTTAAAAGAAAGCTGTCATTTCCACACAGCACAAACTTTTCAGAATGACTGTCCAGCTGTGTCTACATACCTAAATAACAAGCCTCTTCCATAAGCATACCAGTATCAGTATTTTAATGCTATTAGTGAAATGGATATTACACATTTTCAGCATTCTGTGATTATAGATAAAATCTGGTAATGGATTTCCATGAGAAATAAGGTTAACAGTTTAATTTGTACTACCACGTTGAAACAAGTGGATTTGCTTATGTCACTTTCTAGAAGTAAGGAAGAAGAAGTATGTAACTCAACCAGACAGCTGATCAAAAAACACTCACCAAATGTTAATCAGAATTAATCAAAAATGGTTATCAAATTATTCACGTTATTATATTGCTTCCTATGAATGTTTTATCAGAAAATAACCAAAAATTCTCCCTCCAGAATGTTAAAAAAATATTTTCTTCATTTTTTTTGTCTAACATTTTTTTCCTGACATAGCTACAGAAATGCACGATATGCAGCAGTAGAATAGATATGTAATAGCATGCGGAAGTGAAAATAGCATAGAAAACAATTTTTATTTTCTTACAGAGAAGGATAGTTTATCTTTCATTTCAGTTAGACATTTTATTTTCACACAGTGCCTCCTGCTTGTGTGGCAGTTGGAGGCAGCTAGCTCCACCAGTTGTTCCCTGCTTCACATGGGATGAGGGAGAGAAGTGACTTTTGTATTGACCCCATCCAATCCCCAGTGCTTTCATCAGTGCTGTGCTTCTCCCCACAGAATCAAGCCCTGACAATTTCACTTCACTGCATTTAAGGGCCATGTGGCATCTGTAAGGATGCCTATTTCTCCCTCTTCCTTCTACTTGTACATAGGTTGGTACCGTGGAGATGCCCTTCTAAGTGATGGGTCTGCAAGGGAGTATCTGTCATCATCCAGCCAGTCAACCCTGATTCACTGCCTGACAGTCATTCAACTCATGTCTCTCCATCCCTCCACTGCTCTGCCATATTCCCTGTTCTTTGGCACCACTCCACTGATCCTCTTCTGCTATACCTTGCACGGTGGATGTGACAGACAGCTTGCTTTATTTGTGCCTATAGTAGCATGCTCTGGGTGAAAGCCTCAGTGGTTCATGTGATTTTGGTCTGTATTTCTGCTTGTCTTTAAATTCCATTTCATTTATCTTTTATAGTTCAAGGATGCCTTCAACGATTTATCAGGCTTTGGACAGACTGTCATCGTGAAAATTCAGTAAGTTTGCCAGTTTGATTTTTGCACAGTACATGCTTCCCACATACCCCATCTTAATCTGTTTTCCATGGAGTACTCAGTTCAAGAAAGGATATGAGATGAGTTCACTTCAGTATGCCTTTGGTTAAAGGAGGACATTCTTTTTGTATTTCTAAAGTTTCTAGAACGCTGACCCCATTTTCACCCCATGGATTTCCAATATGTCTGTGAAGTGGGCTGGATGAGACATCTCCGTGGTAGATGTCTCTCTTTTAGCACCATGTAGGATACACCACTGTGCTATAACTAGCAGTCTCTGTGATATCTGCCATGTCTCTGAAATTGTAACAGTTAACTCTGAGGTTCCTATGAACAGATCCAACTTGGAGTCCCAGTTTAATTTAAGAAACACCCTCATTACAGAGGGCCACTGCATCTCATTGTGCACTTGCTGGTCTCTGCTGATGGCAGGGTGAGCAAAGACGTTATTAAATGGGCTGTGGTGACTGTAGCTGTGAGCATAGGTCCTTTGCTGATCTAGGTGGACACTGTAAGATGTTCCTCTCTTCCCATTCCCAACTGTTAAAGGTTACTGTCCCCAGAGCTCTGCCAGCTTCTCTGTGAGTGCTCCCTAATGCACATCAAACAAAACCTGGCATGCTAGCACAACAGCAGTGTAAACCCTTTCAGCGAACCCCATGGATTAAGCAGTTAAGCAGATTGTTGTTCTAGCAGAGTAGTGAGGGCAGTAACTTCCAGCAGAGTGACTGTGACAAACACATAGGGCACAGTAACATCTTAAGGCACTACAGCAATCTACCACTTAAAGGTATTTGTGTGCATTTCCCAGCAGCATGAAGTTCAGCTGAAGAACAGGCTAGTCACTGCTGTTCTCTACCTCACCCCAGGGAGATTGCTGTCCAGCTGAACCCAACCCATACAGCATGCAGTTAACATAGATACCTCTACACTGCAAACAGATCCTTCTGAATTCATTGTGGTCATACCTTGAATTATCCTCACCACATTTCAGGATGGATTCTCCACATCACGGCTGGATGATGCCACAGGCTGATGCAAGCATGTAAAAGTTAGGGTCTAACAGATTAGGCCCTCTACACTGCAATGAGTTTGAGGTTAGCCCAGTAAAAAATTATCAGTTGTGTGCCAGCAGCACAGAAAGGAGTGATATTAGCATCCAATCCAACAGCCTTTGCCTACTGGCTACATATTTACATCTGGATCTACTGGAAAGATGACCATTAATGTATTCCTAAGCAAGACTTGAACTCATTTTCAGGTGTCTTAGCAACTAGCTACATTGTGGGATGAAAGAACCTAGGAGAGAGAGGGAGGTTTGGCAGAAATCTTCTCTTGTTTTTTCATCTAGCTTGCTATCCATATGGATTATAGGAAACTTTAAAATGTTGATGTCTGTACTTTTCAGACCTCTGAAAGAAAACAGAGCTGCTCCTTCAACTAATGTAACAGTGATAAACCTGTTTATGGAGAACTCAACTGTAAACAAAGACATAGTTAGTTCTGCAATAAGTAACGCAATAAAAGATTCATCCTATGTCTCTCTGTACAGAGGTATGTAATTCATTACTGTGGAATTAAATAATCAGTAGAAACAGAAGTTACTACCTTCAAAGCTGGTTAGAACATTTCTGTGTGCAGCAAAGTCCATCAGAGCATAAGCCTTGTTGATTTTAAGGAGCTGAATGTTCAATATTAGGTAATTTTGAAGACTCAAGCATTCAGCGCTGGGCTTTTTTGTCTTATTAAGGCTTTCTACTTCCTGTGTAAAGTAGATAAGGAAAATGTGTATTCCCAACTAAGCAATGGCATGTCGATTTTAACCTGCTGAGTGTTAAGTGGATGGAAAAATCAGGATGAAATATATACAGACATATATTTTACTTCCGAGAATAAGAAGTATTTGACTGGCTAAATAGGATGAAACTCTCTTTAGACTACTTCTTCCATAATTAACCATGGTGATTGAAATGAAACCTCACTGATTTGCTACTGATTAGCCAATGAGCTAAGTGATTCTTTGGTCTAAAGCAATAAAGCCTTGCATTACTAAAAATGTAATACTTGGAGAATGATTTTCTAAATAAAATGTGGATTTTTTTTTTTTTTAATTTGTTTGTATTTTGAAATTGGCTTTCATGAAAGGCATAGCTAATAATTAAAGGAGTCCATTTCATGGCTTATAGCCTGAGTTTGGTCTTTGAAGGTGACTGCATCATCCTCAGCCATGGTATTTCTTGTGTGCTGGTCCTAAACATGAGCGGCAAATAGAAAAAAACCTGAGAGCTCACAAAGCACCAGCACAATCACATTCCTCCACTGCATGCCACCCACTGAAGTCTGTGAACCATTCCCATCACTGGGACATGGATCTAAAGAGCAACATGCTGGGCAAACAGCATACTAATATTGCTTGTGAAATGAGCTGCATGCCCATAAATATTTATATCTATGTGGAACTGTATGGGATCTGGGCCACACAGTTCAACTGTAGAAAAAAAAATAAGGGAATAGTGCTGGGGGTTTTCTACAGTTTTGTATTGTTTTGTTTTGTTTTGTTTTTTAAGGTGAGTCAGAGGGTCAGTGTTTAGAATATGAACTTATGGGTAGAATTTCCCTCTTCATGGACTGGAGGGCAGGAATGTTTGGAGACAGTTGGAGGAGGCTGAAAAACAGAAGGTCAGAAAATGTGATGGAAACAGGACCTTAAATGGTAAAGAGCAAGGGAAAATAAAGGGCTAGTCCAAATGCCTGCAGTATTGATATCCCAAAAAAAAAGGACTTACAAGTGTTTTTTTCAGAATTGCTAAATAATTGGTTCATGATTTACTGAGCAAGTGTACTGCTTTCTATGAAATTATATTATTAGTACTCAGGTTTGATTCCTGATTATTTCTTTTTTAAAGCTACAACCTATTGTGCTGCTTTTAATTGTGATGATCAAACCACAGACTGCACAGAACATATGTTTCCAAAATGTGAATGCAAAAATGGCTTTGAAAAGACAGAATGGGATGATCGTTCTTGTTCAGGTAAGCAACTTGCTACCAGGCTAACCTGGGTATTGCCTGTCTCAGTCCATTTTTTTAAAAGGGTGCTCTGCAAATGTGCTGACCTCTAAAAAACAGGGAATGTGTGTCTTATTAAGAAAGCCATAGAAACACACTTACATTTCACTTTAAATATACCCACAATTCTATTCTGGTAGAATAAACTACTAAAGCTGGAGAAAATTATCACTGAAACCAGTGAGCGGGCAACTCTTTAAATGCATTGTTAAACTCTTGGCAAGAATTGAAACCTAAATAGGTAGAGGATGGAACAAACTGAATCCTATACTGACAGTCTTCTCTGCTATGACATGTTTTGGGAATAAATTCTATATGCTACCTGGAGACAGCTATGGGGATGATGAGAGAAGTGGAATTCTCATGATGCACTACATCAATCTGTTAAAGCTCTGTCCTTTGTTGGTAGTTCTAGGATTGCATTACCTGTGTTTAGGCAGGTTTTTGTGGGAAGAATGATTTATGTGATTATTAGGAACTGTTAGTTTTTGAGGTTTATTTGCTCACTGGCTTTGAATCTTTTAATGAGTACTATGTTTATATTTTTAGCTATCCTCCACAGCCTTGAGATGTACATTATTTTCTTCTTATGAGAACTAAAAATTTTCCACTACAGAAAAAAAGTCTAAGATATGAGATTTTAAGAAAAACAACAATTATTGCAAGCACTCATGATAAAATCACAAAGCTAGCTACAATAAAGGCCCGTGAGATGTGATCCAGTGTGGGCCTTTGTGGCCCCTAACCTGCCTAAATCTGATCCAGTTTTAGATCAGTTGCAATACAAATCACCTGCTGTGAGATCAGACTGTAGGTCATTGCTTGCCTATGTAAGATGCAGCCTAGCCAAATTTCCATTCTGATGAAGCTGTATGGTTTTAAACAAAGACTATTAACTTCTGGTTTTGTGCTTTTGTATTTTGGTTTCTGTTCTATACTGGTATAGACCTAAAAAAGCCATTCTGTTGCTCTGTAGCACAAGGTTGTGTGTGTTTACAGGGCAATTAAAAAAAAAAAAAAAAAAGAAAAAATAAAAAGGAGGGGGGATTTTCTCTAATGTTGATTTTTTGGGGGCTATCTTCAATTCACTCTGTATTTTTTCCCTCTGAAAATCCAGATTGCAGTAAAGACTGTTCTGCAGCGGAAAACAAGTACTGTGCAAAAGAAAAAGGGGTTCCAATATGCAAATGCATGTCTAACTTTGAAAAGAAGAATGAAAAATGTGTAGCGTGAGTACTCGGCTTTTTCTTGTGTTCCTGTGTTCTAGGCAAAGATAGGGGAGCAGAACATGAAGTCACCCTCAGCCTAGAAGACCAGGCTGCAGCTATGTGAATCAGAGAAGTGCCTGAGGTGGTTAGCAGGTGAACACATTCCTGTGGTGTCACAAATTATGGCATTTTAACTGCTTGGCATTAGTCATTGGTGTGCACTCACAATACCTCAGAGCAAAGTCAAGAATATCCAAGGTCATCTGTGAGTCAGTGAAGAGGATAAACTACTTCATGCTTATTTTGTGGGTTGCCCACATAAACATAAACTCTTCTTTCAGAATAATTGAGCCACGGGAACTGGTATGCTGAAGCATTTAGTAAGCGACAAGCATTAGAGCAAGACTTGCCTCAAATCCCTGGAAAATTTCCACTGATATCAGTGGGGACTCTAGTTTCCTGATAACTTTCAGACCTCCAGTATTTTGTCTTGCTGTCCTCGCTGCACTTATTTCTGTCAGCTCAGGATCAGAACCAGCAGTGTTGCTTGCTGGTGAAGCTGAGCAAGTGACTGGTTGTGCACTGCTCCTGTGGATAAGCAGAGGGACCTTACACCCCATATCCATTAATTCAGCTGTTTTTGTAGTTATTGCTGCTACACACTGAACACTTCTTACTGTAAAATCGATATATTTTAAATAGAATAAACTGGTATGGGAAGAAGACAAAGAGCTGCCAGTCCTTATACACCTTAAACTGAGGCTTTTGATAGACAGCAGGTAGCAATTCCAAGAGGCTCAGAAGTGTAGAGCTTAATTTTTTGAGAAATTAAGAAACCCTTTTAACATTTTTCAGGCTGAGAACCTGAAACTCTGAGCGCACAGCTCGCCAACCATTCTGAAAATCTCAGATTCTTTTACTCTAACAATTAAACAAAAGAATTCAATATCAAGATAACACTAAAGAGAAAATCTGTAGTGAGCTCATTTTGCTGAGAAATTGCTGACAAAAGGTGGAAATATACTATTGTTTTGTGATCATCTGCTTAATGACATTACCTTTCTTTTCTTTCTTTCTGCTTTTTTATTTTTTCCCTCATGTAGCTGTTCAGTGGGCTATGCTGGGGAGAACTGTGAGAACAGTAAGTACAAGAATTTCTGATTTTTAATTATAGCATAGAAAAATACCTGGTAATGTTTAATCTTCCTGAGATAACAAAAATAACAAGTAGTAGGCTTTAGATGTGCCACCATCCTGTATTGATAGCAGGCAAATGTTAGAAAAAAATGAGTGAAATTCAACTGTTGGCCTAGAAGGAAAAACCCTCCTTAAAACTCATGTTCAGACAATAGAATTTCCTCTAATGAACTCTACATTAAGCCCAGTAGTTTTTAGTCAAACACAGGTTATTTGACATAAAAGCATTTAGTCCTCATCTAAAGACATGCAGTGCTGAGCTCAGGACCACTAATGGATTAGTTTCTCCTGTAATTAATATTAATATTAATTAAATATTAAAATGCCAGCAAATTACTCTCATTTGAAATGTTTCTGCTTTAATATCCAACTACTGGTTCTTGTTTGTGTTTTACCTTGCAAGCACTGCATAGTATCTAGTATTCTATACTAGTGAAGAGATGATGGCCCAGACTGTGCTATCCCATAATTGTAATCATCTGGACAAGCTAACTAGAGGGGCCTTCCAAAGCTTTTTCCCTTTGCTGAGTCAGTTTTGCAGCTGTTTGCTACACTGTCTCCAGTGTCCACCATCATACAGATTAGGAGAGGACATTTTTCATGCCTTTTAATGTTTGCATGTGCCTAAACTCAGAACATCTAATACAGTCAAAGGCAGGTTGAAAAACAAACAGTTATGGTTCTTTACTTCTCTCAACTCCTTTGCCTTTATTTGAGCAAAAGTTATATCCTCACATGGCCCTTTGGGATCTCACACTGCTTCATTCTTAAACTTATACATGTTTAACGTGCCTGTGTCTGCATCTATGACATCTTCAAGGGTTTTATTTTGTTTTTTCCTAAATTTTGGAGATTGGCTAATGGTAGTTATAGCGCAGCACAGTGAATCTTGCCAGGTGTAAATGTTTGACAAGAATGGTATTTTTCATCGTATGGATCATATTTTTCTAGAGAAAGTTCTGGGAATTTTAAGGCCTTTTTCATAAAGCAAAAGAAAATGCTAAATCGGCACAAAATCAACACACTGTGAATTTAAATACAGATTTGGGACCTACTAATAATAAACTCCAAGAATAGCCTCATCTTCTCCATATGGCACTTGGTGGGTACTGATGTAAGAAGTTTGGTGAGCAATAGCCAAAGATATTTCACACATGTGTTTAGCATAATGTTCTTTCAAGAAATCATATTCCCTGTTGTCTCGATATATGCTGCTATGACTAAAAGTGCTGGATGGTTCTGCTGGTAATGGCGCCACTTGTGGTTTCATTTTGTGTATCTCCAGTACAGACATTCAGTGTATTAAAAGGCAGACTCATAAATCCAGACTGGGATCTTCAAGTAGGTACCACCAGTAAGGTTGGGTAGCTCAAAAGGCTGTCTTAGTTTTCACATACTTATCTTGAAATTATGCCCTGCAGGACACAATTCTCCTTTTATTTTTTTTTTTCCTTACCATGGCTACACAGAGCTAAGACTAGGTTTTGGTAGTAATTTCATTCACAGTTGAAGGAATACATACAGAATCCATGTGTTCCTCCTTAGTCATGCTGGTTCTGCAGCAAGACCAGTGAGAATGAATTTTCCTTGACAAACATTTATTCAGATAGGGGATATTTACGCAGTGTTCATAGTGCCACATAGTAGACACTTCAAATCAGTGTGCCTTATGTGCCTAGGGCATGGGAAGAGCCTATTTGACACCTAACCATATATTTTAACATCAGTACTAGTTTAAGCAACTCCTGCACCTTCCCAGTTGTTCCTGTCCTTCGTCTATGACTATGTGTGAAGCCATTCAGTGCATGGCACTAGGAACATAAGGTGGGATCAAAATAGCCATCCAGAAGAAGTGGTCTTTAACGCAGATGAGTTCCTTAATTTACAGCTTTCTGTGTCCACAGACAGTTGTACTGAGACAGCACCAGGACCCTGGAAATGAATAACATCTTTATTTCTCTGTCTCTCTGCCTCTCTCTCTCTGTCTCTCTCTCTCTCTATCTCTCTCTTTCTCTCTCTCTCTCTTTTGCTCGTTCATTCTTTCTCTTGTGGACACTCTTTCTCACTCTCTCCTCTCTCTCTTTTTCACTCTCTCTTTTTTTTGCTCTCTTTCTCTCTCTCTTTCCCTCTCTCTCTTCCTCTCTTTCTCTCCTTCTTTCATAGTAAGAGGAAAGCAACAGGACTTGGTTCTCAATATTTACCACAAGTTTTCATTTGATGTTTCTTGTTTGTGATTTGTTGTTTTTTTGTTTTGTTTTGTTTTGTTTTGTTTTGTTTTGTTTTGTTTTGTTTTGTTTTGTTTTGTTTTGTTTTGTTTTGTTTTCCAGATAGAGAACTCATTCTGATAATAGTGGGTACAGTGTTTGGAGCCATTATCCTGAGCTTAGTGATAGCAGTCTCTGTTGTTTCAGTAAGGTAAGAGTATTTCTCACAGTTGAGTAGAAGCTGGATTGCTGCAGGTTCGTAGAGAACTAAGCAGAAATTCAGAGAGGAGCAGGGCTGCGAATGTGGTTGCATGCCTAGCTGGGTAGACAAGTTCATTTAAGTCATATAGTCATTAGAATTTGGTTTTGCCTGTGTGATCTTCCCAGAAGTATTTATACTCTTGCTGTGAATCTAACTGTGAAAGCTTCAGACAAGTCTTCAAAATACACACATGACCCAGTAATCCTAATCCTGCTCTAGCCAGTACTGATATGGCATCTGGATGAGGTAGATGAAGAATGCAGGTATCAGAAGACACTGTGGCCCAAATTTAGACCCTCTGCAGCTTTCCCTGCTAGCTCTTCAGGTCAAGATCTGGTATGCCCCTTTCAGATCAATACAGGTGGCATTTCCAGCCAAGCATCTCTTTAAAGCTTGCTATACCTGGTGTACTGGCAAATTCCCAACTGCAGCTGCAGCTCCTCGCTTCTCTCCACACAATAAATATAGAAACACTCAAGCAGCTCCTCTGCCTTTGCTCTCAGTGCTGTCCAGGTACAGATGCCTACAAGACGGCCCAAAAAGGCACAGCCTGCCAGCAGGTGCACAAACTGGTGCTGAGTGTGTGTGAGATGTATGGACTTGAGATCACAGACAATTCAAGTGTATCATTTGAGTGTCCAGCTTTGTCTGCAGTCATGAGGGCAACTTTTTTTAGCTGGTCCTAATGAATGTCTCATTCCTTCCCCTGAATAGTCAATTAGAGCTAGTAATGGTTGAGGAAACTCCTTCACTCTAGGAACTAGTTGAAAGAGGCCAAAGTCCCCCTCTGTCTTTCCTAATAGCTGAGCCCTATCTGTGATAAGAAATGTCAAACTTTGTCCTCTATCATTGATAACAAGGGATTTACAACAGGTATGCTAGAAAAATCTGTTGCATGTTTCAGAATAGCACTGAGCTTTCATAATAAAGTGGGATTGGACAACTCAATAAACTGAATTTACTTATTAAGTAAGGCACAATAAAAGGTCTGTTAAAACCTCCTTTGTTCTTTCATTTCCTCTGAAGAGCCAAACACAAACATGATCCAGAGAAGAAGAGCCTGATAAAACCGGGTTATTCCAACCCAAATACTTCTGATGATAGACAGACCACGATGTTCCCCAGAGTCCAGACCACTTCTGGCCATGCAAACCCAGGATATCAGCCAAACAACCCATATGAGATGCGTTCCGCAAATAGAGGTCGTTTTCCAGAGAGGGATTATGATGATTTGGTAAGTGTTTCCCACAGACCTATGGGAAATGTGTTCCTGAACTGTAGTGTTGTAGACTACAGACACTGTTGGAACCTAAACTCCACTCTGTCCATCCTCCTTTGATCTAGAAAGCCAAAGTGGTATAAACAACTGTAGCTGCTACTGAAAAATGTTAACTTAATATAGAGACCAGCACTCATCTTATAAAGACCTTTCTAAAGCTCCAGTAGTCATCCGTGAGTTGCAGGAGGGGTATGTGAAATGAAAGGGTAAAAGCAACAGTTTGGCTGCCCAGCGGTCTGCTGTGTCAGAGGATATTTGTCTTCATCGACTGAACACATCCTTCAGCACAAGCGTGCCTGCAAGCATCACAGGCCGTGACAACCTGTGCTTCTTTTAAGCCAGCTGCAGTGTTTATAGGTGCTGCAGTGGCATTTCCTGGTTGCAGCCTCATGCAAGACTCACAGTCATTTTAAGCTGGCACAACTTCCCAGGGGGTTGGGGTCCTCCCACCCACTCTGCCACTGCCTGGTTCACGCGAGAGCCTCTGCAGTTGCTGCAGCATTGTGAAGGGGTAACGTGTCACGAAAAAGCCAGCACAGCTTTTGCACTGATACAGCCCAGGGGACCCTGTTCAGCAGAGACGTGTCATTAGCTGGAAGGTGTGTTCTGAAAAAACTGCCTGTTTTATCCTTGAACTCTGCAAGGGAGCTGCAAAGGAAGCAGGCGCTTGAGAAGTGCTGTGCTGTCATATGATTAATTTGCTCTGTTCTGCATGCATCCAGTAAATAGGAAGCACATTGTCCATTCAAATCTTGTTTAAATGACAATTTAGCTCCACCTCTGTGGTGCAAAAAACTACTCCTGTTTAGTGAAGAAAATCTGTTTAATCATAATACATTTATGTGTTTTGCAGAACTGAGGCGTAAACCGTGATAGAAGCAACACAGAAACCTGATGCTTAAAAAAACCCCCCTCTTTTCAAAAGCTGCCAATTAAGAGAAGAAAAACATCTATTTAGTTAGTTGATTGATCAGAAACACATGGATTTTGGCATTTCTAACTTTCCAAAGATGTCAACTTTTCACTGATGAAAATCTGCCTGTTTGGTTTTCCTTGAGGGCTGCTATGTCACAGAGAGAGGGCTGCTATGTGCAGTGTGCTACATGGTGAACTGTTCCGAGGAAGGAGCTTTCTGACCCAGAGCTACTCTTTATTTCTTCTCTTTTCTTGTTCAAATTCTCTGTAGTATGAAATATCACGGGAGCCTGAGGGCTTTAGGATGCAAAGCAGATACTAAGAGACCAGAGCAGTGGAAGGATGGACGGCCACCGTGACAGTGGGTCAGACCAAGGAGTGTCACAGCCTCTCACCAATGCAGTTACTTCAGCAGAGGAAACAAAAAAGTCCATAACCCCAGATTCTCTGAAGATTTTCTAAAGGAAGATGCAAGCTTGAAAGAGATCATGGAGGGTAGGGAGAAGAGAACTTTTAAAAGAACTAATGGCCTCCAATAAACATTGGACTTCTTTCAGGAGGCCAGTACATTGGCAGGAGAGTGGGTGTAGACAAGATACCAGGATTTAAACCCTGCTGCTTTCAGTTCTTCTGGAAGATGGTCCAGGCAATATGTATGATGCTGAAAAATATTGGCACCCAGAGCTTTGCCTGTATTTGTGCTCACTCCATTTCAGCTACAGGCAGCCTGCATGGCTTTGGGCAGATCAAAACTGTTCTTCATGAGAACCTAAGCTGGTTCTCTTCATTATATCAGATACAGTCTTTTTTCCCTCCTCAGCACCCCCAGTATTTCCTACCTGAAAGCATTCTGTTCAAATCTCTGCTGACATGCGTTGTGTGAGACAATGGTACTTGTCTGACCTTTTATACAGCCTTCCTTCCCAATACAATGACAAGAAACAATATCTTCAAACAAACACTATTGTTCTTCACCTTGCACAACTATATTGATTTTACATTCTCAGCTCCTGTGGAAAGTGTTAGTATTTTTTTTTCTCTTGCACTCTATGTTCTGATTGAATGAGCTTAAGGTTGGGGGTTTTTTTCACTTCTTACATACACTCAATAAATCTCTCTGTAAAAGAATCCACATTTTACTGTACTTTACTGAGTGTGCATTATCTGTTGACTAGCATTAACATTTCCTTATATATATAATATATATATGCACAAATATGTACATATATTTATAGGTTAAGTTCATTTAAAGCATCATTTAATTCCATGTTATATTTTGTGTTTTGTTTTTTATATATGCAGATTAACTTTTCCTATTAAACATTATTGTTTCTCAGTACCAAGGCTTTCTTATGTTGCTGACCAGTGGTTTAAGCGTTATTTTTATGACTCCAGAGACTGTTTTATGTTAAAACTTGTGCAGAGTTTAGATGCAAGCGTGCAGAGATTGGTTGCATCAGCAACCAGCTTTCCCTCAGAGATTCTGATCAGAAATACTATCAATGAAGCTAAAATGTTTATTGTTGTAAGGCTGGCACCAATTTTCTGGGATTACTTTTGGTGGGAACTGGGTAGTTGGTGCAGCTGGGTCTCTTTTGAAGATGCTGGACAAGCTGCTCTCTGTGATGGCAGCTTTGTGCATATGGGTCTGTTAATGTCACACAGCTAAAAAAAGAAGTGTCTTCCAGCTTAAATGACAAGTTTTGGGGCCAGTGTCAGAAAGCACTGCATGTGGCTGTAGAGGTTACCAGGTTATGCATGCAAACAGGTTGTTCCAGTGCTCTCGGTGATCAAAACCAGCTCCCGCTCACCAGTTATGCGACTGAAAACTGGGAACTAAACAGTCCTGATCTTTCTCATGTGGCTTCTCTAGCAAAAGAACGCAGACCCTGCTTTCTCTGAACTGCCTGCAATGAGCAGTAGTTCAGAAGTAGGCTGGGTGCAATTTTCTCTCTGTTGTTTTCCTGGGTTCTCACAGTTTCTTTCTTCCAGCTGACCCCTGTCCCCTTCGCTGCTGTGCCCTGGCCGCGCAGTGCCTGCTGTCGGCAGGTGTCTGTAGGGGGACAGGTTCTGGTGGCCCTGGCCACCCGCCATGGGCTGTGCGCATCTCCACATGCACAAGGTGACCTTTACTCCGTGCAAGTAGGGCTAGCAGGATTTAGCTGCTCATGACACCTTAAGCAAAGGATGGCGGAGATTTGGCTTTATTTTCTTGACTTTTCCTCAGAGAGAACTCACCTGTGAGGAGCAAAGCAAGGTGTGGTGGCTACCCTTAGCACAAGAGGTGGAGAGGCCCCGTCCTTCCACCAGCTAGAAAAGCCCTACAAATGGGACCAGCTCCCTTTCCCAGCAGTTTCATTAATGTATGGCCCCCCATGCCTGCTGCCCCCTTCTTTGAGCCCTTGTGTCCCCACTATTCCCTGGGTGAAGTAGATTCTCCCTGCTTCTAATCCCTCTGCTAAGCCCTTCCCCTTTCTTCTTTTTCCTGATTTTTCAGCAGCAGGAAAAGGTTCTACTGCCAGCAGAACACACAGGGGAGTTTATATGGGGTGAGACACTAAAAAAGGAGTGGGATACAGGCAGAACAAATGGCAAAAAGTCATGAAGCTCAGTGTAGACTTCTACTTTGTTCAGCCCGCTGCTTGTGCTTGAATAGCCCCTCCTCCCCTCCTTTCTATGTCAGACTGAAACTTGGTGTTACGTGGAGTCTAATAAAAAAATTTCTCTACATCAAGAGTAACAGCCCCTGCATCATGGTCTTTGACTGAAGCGAATTGCCTGGTTCCATCAGCTTAGTGCAGAGGATCCTTAAAATACATGTAACAGTAGCCTGCTACAGAGGCACATGAAAAGGCTTTTAAGTGTTATCTCTTATTCTTTCACAAAGCAATAGGGGTTGGAAATGCAGCTGAAAGCTCAAAAATAAGCGAAACTTTAATGCAGTAAAACTTTATTGAGGGTGTGATATCTAGACATTTGCTGTCATTGATAATAAAAGCAGCAAAAATAGTAAGGTGTTTGCATCATTTAACTGCAGGAGAATTTTCATTGCTCTAGTTCAAAGCTAATTTCTGTAACTGCAACCAGTTCTCATTTAGCCTGTGCTGGGGAGGGGCTATCAGATACTACTCTTTAGCATTTCAAAGGCTGCTGCAGCTATTTTATCTGGACTGGAATTCTGTACCAAAAGGGCAAACTCTCAGATATTTCACCTCTGTTTGGCTATTAGCAATGTGTGATTCTGTTGGGAAATATGATCACAGAAAATAGCCCTTTGTGGTGTTTTATGACTGCTGCCGCTTGGCCCACGCATTGTTTTAGCCGCCCATCCTTCAAAATCCAGCTGCGCATGGGGAAGGGAGCTGAGTGCGCCCCTCACCCACTGGGGTGAGAGTGGACATGCCTGTGGGCATGGAGAGAGGCTTCAGGGAACTGCTACAACTCATTTCACATCCTGGGATCTCTGTCCATCCACTCTCCCGAGATACAAGGTGTCCTGCTGGCACGCAACCTGCAGAGGACAGGGGAAGATGGTGCCACTCAAGTCTGCCACCCGCTTTTGTCCTGACCAAAAATTACACTAAAGAGATTGGTTGGTGTATCTGCACAGGGTGTACTGAAATATGCTAAATGTATTGGGGACAGAGGTTTGCATGGTTATAGCACATACTTGTATGGGGGTATTGGGACTGCTGCCATTCCTCATTTATCTGAATATACCTGAGCAGATTCGAGTGATGCAGGGTGGGAGGGGAAGGGTACAGTGCCATGGATGCCTGTGGGGTAAGAGCCTGGGTCTGTGCAGCTGTCCCGCAGTAATGGGATGGGATGGTGGGATAAGGAAAGGCTTAGTCAGGACAGAAGGATCTTGTGCTGTTTGCACTGCTTATGCCTGAAACCAGCCTCAAAACTGAGACATAAAACGCTGCAACCAAACACTCCCCAGCAAAGCCCAGAATCCAAACTTGCATGTGAAAGTCAGCACACTTCAGGCCTGAAAGCAGAAAGCATTTTGAGGTTTTTTTGTTACCTGCTGGTGAAAACAACTCCTTGTTTCCTTTTTGACACCGTTTTCACATAGATCCTGCATGTGATGTGCCAGGCTGAAGCCATAAACAAGTAAGAGAGAGCAATGAAGGTAAGACACCATTGCACACCCAAGGGCTTGACTTTTCAGTTCTGTGTACTTCCTTTGACTTTGATGACCTGTTTTCAAGGTGAACAATAGCACCCCTTCCAACAAGAGGAACAGAGGATTCAGTCAGATGTCCCGGTGAGCGTCAGTGTCCCTAGTTAGTTTTGGGAACACCACCCCGGCTTCATCCCAGGCTCAGGAGGGTGACTGGACTCTGGCACAACCCAGGGACAGAGGATCCTGCTTGGAATTTGGGATTCATTAGCCCAGAGCCACAAACCACAGAAAGGGAAGTGAGGCAAGCCTCGCACTGCCTCATTCATCTGCCACTCCTGTGAGAGGAGGACTGTAATTTGCCAAGTCCAGCAACTGAAAAGTTATCAGTTGATATTTTTTCCCCAGTTTCCCACCCTTCTTTTTTTTTTTTTTTTTTTTTTTTTTTTTTTTTAACCCCCAGTAATGGTCCCTGTTTCAAAGTCTTGTGTCTGGTGTTTGCAGATGGAGTAGATTTGCTTATTAAGGGTTTTCAGGAAGATTAAACTGACTTCTCTCAGGTTTTGGAATGTGACTTGAAGTTACTGATTTTTGCAACAACTAGTCAAAAAAATCCCCAAACCCAACGCTAAAAGCCCAAGGTAGTCTAAGAACAGGGAAACTCATAAAACATGTTAGGTCAAAATTAAATAAGAAATAAATAGGGCTAAAAATAACATTCCATAAATTTCCTTGCAAAGGATACTCTAACTGCTGATAAAAGGCTCTTTAAATATATCAAAGCCTCAAAGGCAGCTAGGAAATCAGTGGGAATGCTGATGGCAATGGTATTAAAGGGGAAGATGGGGATGATGAAAATGTAGCAGAGAAGCTCAGTGATTACTTTGTGGCTATTTTTACAGCTGAAGCTGGATGTTCCCACATCCATCACACTCTGCAGTGGGGATCAGTCGGAGGAGCCAGAGCAATCGGAAGTAAAAAGGTGAAATGGAGGAAAGAGGTAGCAGGAGTAAAGGAAAGTAAGTGGAGTAACTAGGTAACAGGAGATACAAGGTCAAAGAGTGGTTGTTAATAAGTGACCAGAACCAGGTGGCGCTGATCCAGGGGATGCAGCGCAGCCCAGGGGTACGGGGGGGGCTGCGGTTCCCAGCTGTGTCCCCAGGCACAGCCAGCTCATCACACACCACAGACTCGCTGGGATGCACTGAGACATCATTGGTAGGGCTCCATAGCCACTGAGTCGGGGTGGCAGCCAAACACCTGCCAGAATTTGGGGGTACACAATGCTAAAGGAGGTCAGCATAAAGCAGACAGACAAAAAATACAGGCACAGGTGGTGAACTTGCTGCCACAGCGGGTTGAGGATGCTGTATCTGCAGGTTCAGAAAGAGATCAGGCAAATTCAAGACTGCAAATGCATGAGAGATGTACCCTCTAACAACAGGATGAGAAAGTGGAATTGCTGGAGGAAGGGTCTGTAAAAGGAGCCAGGGCCCCAGGATAGCCCCTCCTATTGCAGCCCCTGGAACAGAGTCTGGGGCTGGACAGTCAACATGGGCCAGAGGGACATTTCTCACCTTCTGAAGTAATTGGCCAGCTTTGTTCAATGGCAATGTGGGCTGAAAGGTGATGCCTGGGGTGTGCATTCATGATGTGTTTTGTATGCCCTAATTATGCCCAGGCTTTTCATAAACCGTGGAGAGACAGGGTAAGGTGCTGTACACTGGGCTCTTTATTGTTTATGTAAAAACAGCTTCATAAAACAAACAAGGGAAAAGTTTTGCAAGCAGGTAGCTCAAAAAATGCAAAATGCTTCCTGATTTCAATCCCAGAAAGTACTGCCTTTCACACACAAACTCCAAAGAGCAACCTCTGGAGAACAAAGTCTGTTCTCCTCCTCTCCACAAAAATCAAACCAAGACCAGCAGCTCCCACCCTCCCTCTCCTGGCAGAAGCAAAATAGTTTGTGAAGAAGCTGTGCCTCACTTGTTTCTCTCTGTCCCCAAATCCCAGGCAGTGTCCCCAGATCCTGGGCAGTGTCCTCCATGGCACCTGCCAAGGTAGGCGACATCAAGTGAAGCAGAGAGAAAATATCTGCACAGCTGCTGGTCCAAACACGTCAGAGATTTCCCCAGGGGAGCTGGGAGATTTGCAGGGCTAGATAAG